AATTGTTTTCTTGCAGTCCGGCGGCATGGAGGTGGACCACCCTCATCACAACCCCCACCCCCGCCCTCCCAGCTGTGTCGGATCCCCCACTCACGACCGTCCTTCGAGCACTCAGAGCAGCCGATGCAGCACGCCCTTCGCAATGCCACCCTTCTCTGCATTGCCTGCCGCCCTTTTAGAGGTGGGACTCATCCACCCCTCGCTACTAGCAGACGACGTCTTCAGGTGAGAGTTTTGTTGTATTTAGTACGGTTGTTGTGCTTGTCTAGTACGTTTCTGATATATTTTTAAAGAAATTCTAGTACTTTTCTAATACTGTTCGAGTGCATTTTTAGTGCTCTTCTCTAGTACATTTCTAATACTGTTCTAGTACTCTTCTAGTTTTATTCTAGTACGGTTCTGGTGTAGTTCTAGTACAATTCCAGTAAAAATGGAATTTATTTTAGCGTTACATTAATTCAACAGCCGGGGCCTATCAGAGAATAGGAAAATAACAAGTTTGGATCAAAATGGATATTATATGAAAAAATAAAACGGAAGGAAATATGCATATAAAAATAAAGTGAATGACACACTGCGTGAAAATGTGTATAAACTGAAAAATACTACGACTAGTTCATACACAGCGTTGCAAACCGTATTAAGACACGTCAACAACAACAAAACTTTTTTTGATAGAGTAACCCTTTTTTATGAGAAATATCTATTCTATAAAGTGCAGGTCTGGAACGATTCTAGCACTATCCTAGTATAGTACCAGTACTATTCTCGAGAATAAAAATTTCCATATTCCCACCTAGGACTTCAGTACGATATAGTCACCTAGTCATCTTCGAACGGCCGAAAGTGCCAGAAAACGGCGGAAATCCTCGCGAATTATCGCTTTCCCAATAGAAAATGACACGCTGAATCGAATGAGACTATAATCAGCCCGATAGGACAGATAGTTTTAGAGATATCGACGCTCAAAGTCAACTTTTCGCTTTTATTGCCAATAGAAGCACTCCGGTAGGCTACTACGTCTCTATTTTTCAAAATTTCCCGATTTCCACCACGGATTCGCTCATTTCGACATTGAATTAGTCTATGTGAATTTTTTCAGATTTTCAATAGGCCAAATAAAAATTTTCATTTTCACACCTAAGACTTCAGAACGATATAGTCACCTAGCCATCTTCGGACGGCCGAAAGTGCCAGAAAACGGCAGAAATTCACGCGGATTATTGCTTTTCCAGTAGAAAATGACACGCTGAATCGAATGAGACCATAATCAGCTCCATAGGACAGATAGTTTATGAGATATCGACGTTCAAAGTTAGTTTTTCACTTTTATTGCCAATAGGAGCACTCCGGTAGGCTACTACGTCTCCATTTCCCAAAATTTCATAATTTCCACTACTGACCACCACAGATTCATTCATTTCGACATCGAATTAGTCTACGTGCATTTTTTTAGATTTTCAATAGGCCAAAAAAAATTTTCATTTTCCCACCTAAGACTTCAGTACGATATAGTCACCGAGCCATCTTCGGACGGCCGAAAGTGCCAGAAAACGACGACAATTCGCGAAGATTATTGCTTTTACAGTAGAAAAAGACACGCTGAATCAAATGAGACTATAATCAACCCCATAGGACAGATAGTTTTTGAGATATCGGCGCTCAAAGTCAGCTTTTCGCTCTCATTGCCAATAGGAGCAGTCCGAGAGGCTACTACGTCTCCATTTTCCAAAATACTTCAATTTCCACCACAGATTCGTTCAAAACGACATTGAATTAGTCCATGTGAATTTTTCCAGATTTTTTATAGACCAAATAAACATTTTCCTTTCCCACCTAAGACTTCAGTACGATATAGTCACCGAGACATCTTCGGACGACCGAAAGTGCCAGAAAACGGCGAAAATCCACGCAAATTATTCTTTTCCAGTTGAAAATGACACGCTGAATCGAATGAGACTATAATCAGCCCCATTGGACATATCGTTTTCGAGATATCGGCGCTCAAAGTCAGCTTTTTGCTTTTAGCGAATAGGGGCACTTTGGTAGGCTACTTCGTTTTCATTGTCCATAATTTTTTGATTCTTGAAGTTTCTCATCAAATATGTGAATCGTAAAACAATGTTCCACCAAAATTCAGTGCATCTTCCTTGAATTTTATGCTTACTAGCACAAATTGATATTCTGAAACGATAATACTGTTCATTCAGGTGTTCGTCTTGCATGGCCGCCTTTCCGTCTCTGTGGTTGCTGGAGCAACACGCTGCCCTGCAGCACGTGGGGGGAAGTGGGGCGATCGCCGTGTCCTCGCTCGATAAGCCTTTCGTGTGCGAGCAGTGCGGACAAAGCTACAGGTCGGTACCCTTATTTTCATTATTATTCAAATAACATTCATGCACTAGCGAGCCGTAAAGTGCACTTTACCGCCCGGTTTTGCAGGCGTTAAGTTGCCTTTTACCGCCCGCGGGCTCATTATGGCCCATGGGCCGTAAAGTGCACCTCACTGCCCGCTGTTCTCCGTTTTCTTGTATCCACATATCAATTCATGGAAAACATATGATCATTTTCCCAGATTCTTATATTTCCAGCGGTACATCATAAACTTCTTTATCCGATTCCATAGTCTCGCTATTATTATTATCACAAATTTTTACTTTTTGGTCAATGGATCAAAATTCAGCTTGTTTAATAGATGTATTGCTATAGACATCAACCATCAGTTTGCTTGACAACGTCAAAATTAGGTAGGTATATAAATATACTGGGTATTGTAAAATTCTGAAGAATGAATCTCTTCTAGAGATCAAAGAGTTTTACTATCTGCCTTCAATAGATATAATTCAATGTTCGTCGTGGCCGAGAAAGAATTGATATTATAGAAAATGCGAATGCTCAATGTATTTCTTCATAAATATCCATTTTTTCATGTTCATAATTTATCTGAATATGAAAAGTGACATTTTATAACCTGTCAACAGAGACGAAATGTCAAACTTTTTTCTCGTCACAGAATAGTAGTTTACGTAACAATTTGGGAAAATACTGTTTTTTTTTTTTGGAAGAGTAGACAAAATGCTAGGCCGAGCCGTAGGCGAGTCCTGGAAGTCTACGAGTCGAAAAAAAAAACCGTTTTCCGACGTGTTGCCAGCACTATTTTTCCGGCAACCATGTAGAATAACAAACCAATGAGACACATATCCATATTATATTTCTTTGTAGAATACAATTTCTTCTTCATTAATTCTCATGTGTATCAAATACTGAAATTTGAACAGAATACCCATACCTACTAACTTACATTGGAAATTTCGTATGGACATTGTCAAACTCACTATCGCAGCAGCTTTCGATAGTTTATTACGATAATTGCAACCAAACTCTCAAAAATCAAAATGTCAACTAAATTCATGGCAAATAGTTGCGTCAGCCGATATTTCGTTGCTATGAAAATTATCATCTGCATTTATCAGAACCATATCTACCAATATTTTCATAGCTACAGTAACAACAACGATGCCACTTTCCCAAAGAAAAAGCGTCCGGGCAGTAAGTACTTCCCGGACGATTGCCGAAAAACAGATGGGTGAAGAGGTAATAATAATAATAATAATAATAATAATAATAATAATAATAATAATAATAATAATAATAATAATAATAATAATAATAATAATAATAATACCGTAGCCGTGTCATGGGTATGGAGGTCCCTGACACAACTTGCAGGGCCTGCCGCAGGGCGCCCGAGACAATTATGCACCTGCTGTCTTCTTGCACGGTGTATGCAGTCTCGGCCTATATCCATAGACACAATGCGGCATTGCGAGTGCTCTACTACTATTTGAGGCACTCGTACGGAATAGACGAGACCCCAGTGCTGCCCTATGCTCCGGGAGATATTGAGTCCGTTGTGGAGAATGAGAGGTGCCGAATTTATTGGAACTTCTCATTCCCCACCCTCAGGCAAATACAAGCTAACAAGCCTGATGTAGTCCTCCTCGACCATCAAACCAAAGCGATGTTCGTGATCGAGTTTTCGGCGCCAGCCGAACCGAACATCGTTTTGAAGGAGGAGGAAAAACGGACTAAATATCGAGATCTTCTCTTCGAACTCTGCCGGCTCTATCCAGACCATTCTGTGGAATTGGTCATCCTGATTATCGGCTCCCTAGGAGGCACACGACACACGCTGCTCTCGGAGATCCAGAAAATCCCAGCGTGCTGTGATAAGGCACACATCCTGGCTGGTGGAATGCAGAAGGCCGTCATACTGGGATCATTGCGTCTACTCAGGGCACACGGTACTTGGTCCCAGTGATTACTCACCTCACAGGCTGTGAGGAGTAGTCACTGGATTTTATCCAGCACAACTCTGCGTGACGTCGGAGGCCGCAGGGTCGTGACTGGAATTACATAAATTAAATAATAATAATAATAATATGCTTTTATTGTCTGAAGAAGAATCTTGTTGACAAAGCTAGGTCAGATAATATTGTAGAAAGAGGTTAACATATAACGACATAAATATACGTCACAAAATATAGTCAAAATGAATACCACATTAAAATACTAAAATATCACTACTCAAACTTATCACTATTATATTCCTGCAAACTGTTATAGGGTCTATCAGAGAGGAACTTTTTGACTTTTTTCCTGAATTGACAGTCATTCAGACTTGCTGATCTAATATCAACTGGCAAGTGGTTGTACATTTTTCCACCATTATAGTATATGGAATCTTTAATAAATTCTCTTGTGGGTAGAGGAAGTTTCAAACTGAAATTTCTGTTACGCGTGTTATGATGGATGGGAGTTGTAGTGAATTTTAATTTGTGCTTATTTATCAGGCAAACAGATTCCAGAATGAATAGTGGAATCACTGTCAATATTTTATTATTGGAAAATAAAATTCTGTAAGAATCTCGAGGTTTGACATTACACAAATACCTTATCGCTCGTTTCTGTAGGTAGACCTCAGTTCAGATCCTCTACTATTAGGAATATATAATAGAGTTGATTGATCGATTGATTGATTGATTCCAGATACCGATCAGCGTACGTGAAACACCGTGAACAGAACCACAGAGCCCGTCTGCCGGCAGACAAACTCTTCTCATGTGACGTATGCGGCATGCAATTCCGTTACTTGAAATCCTTCAAGAAGCACCGACTCAACCACACGTTGGAGAAGCTGCACGAGAAAAATGGAGACGGTTCGGCAGAGGGGCTGGGAAGAAGAGAGATAGATAGAGAGAGGGATAGGGAGTGCGACAGAGACAGCAGCGATCAGGTGTCCAGCTCCAATGAGACGATCAACGTGGAGGAAGAGAACCACCATGAAGTGGTGCCTAAAAAAGAGGATATGGCAGATGAAATGGCAGGTTAGTCACGAGATACGGTGGTATCTAATTGTTCCATATCTATAGGTCAGGTTAGCCGCGCGGTTGAAGCGTCAGTAGTCAATTCACGATGGATTGCTGGTTGATGGGTTCGATTTCCACGACTGCAGAAATTTTATGATTGCCCCACGTTGGGCGCCATTTTATCGTTATTTTTAGTGGTTACGACAAACTATTTATTTTGGATGAATTTATGGGGCACCAACTAGCTCAGTAGGAAACAAACGATCCATTCGTTTTCTCAACCGTAGCCATTCGGAACGAGTGACATTTGAAAAATATTAAACAGCATTGAAGCTTCCTTCTCTCATTCACGGCTCAGACCTTTTTCTGACCACGTTTTTACTTTTTCTGACTAGCGACTGTCGTCTCTCTCTCTCTTTAGGAAAAAGTCACACGGTTGTTACTGCAAATAATAAGCGGCACCATCAGGTGACTCCTACAAATTTAGTAATTTTTTTCAGAATACTACTCCGAATACTGCTATTATTCCTCCAACATCAGTGTGAAGAGTGGAAAGCAGTCATAAAATATCGTTGTTTTTACTATAGATAATACGTCCAATTTGTGGAATCATCATTGACTTTCACGAAATGATTGTTCTGAATGCACTACTCATAATCATTCATAAGTTTTTGCCATTTTTTAAATACATCATATTGGTGAAGTATATCGCATACCGCATACCTTCTCAAGAGAACTCTACTGAAGCATTTATTTTGTAGTAGACTATACTAATGTTCCTACCACCATAAATTCCACTTTTGAATAGAAAATTTCAGTTCCAAGTCACCTAATCACGGGTAATCATAACTGACAAGTATCAGAATTTAATTTTGAATTCAGTTTCCATTGGGAGTCACAGTGAGATTAAGTTGAGCCGAATCGAATTTCACTTTCACTGGTTCTAGCTATTGTTGAATATCATAAAGCACAATGTTCTGAAATGTTTCGAATCTCAACAAAATGGTTTCCACGAGCTCGAAATACAGAATTCGACCGCAATGGCATCGAGTTTTTCAAGTTTCTCAAGCAGTCTTGAGGAATTGCTTGGAATTCTCCTTGATGGGCGATTCGTAGCTCTGGAAGAGTCTCTGGCAAGGCTGGACAAAGGTTCCGAATTATTTTCAATACAATTTTAACAATCCATACTTTCTCAAAACTATTGATTTATTCTCTCAAAGAGAAGATATCGACGTGAATAAAAAACCATTGCGTTAGAAACGGATCACACTTTAATCCAAAACTCACTTTTCCATAGGGCGTTCAGAAGTTGGAGGTGAAAGGGTAACTCTTGTTTTTCCATGCATAATGATCAATCCAATACCTCTTCTTGGAAACGAGCAACCCTTTTAGAAGTCTTCAAGAGTTTTGTGCGAGCAAAGAATGATGGGGGCCTTACCTTTTAACGTGTGATCCCAAACACTTTCTTGGGCCATCAGAAAAATTTATGCTGTCGGGGATCTGAACCCACAACCGGCATTTCAACATATCCTACAATACTGTTTGTTGGTTAATCGAAGAGGTGGCTTATTCATCATTCCAGATTTATATTATTTCAATATACGTGTAGTAAAGACAAATCAGATGATTTGCCCCAAAATCTCACTGCGTTTAGAGAATTTTCCCATCAGAGAGCCTAGAAGAAAAACTCAATACCTCGTTAGTGGCACTTTCACTCAGCTTTGGACGTTTCGTTTTCAACATGAAAAATGCAATTTCTTATTTGTCTTGACACTTTTCATTTCTCAGTGACGTTGGCAATCAAATGAGTTACAGGATGTTTTCATTGATACTTCTTGAATTTACCATTTTCATTCTCAGATGTATTATACTATACTATATTGAAATTATATTCTCATTTTTATTTTATAGAAACGAGGAGAGAAAATCCCAAAACATCTGAAATAATGAATATCCAACAATGATTTTATCTACCTACCCACTAAGTTATTAGTTGATCCCGAGTAAGACGATGTAATTTTGATTCAATTTCCTATACGTTCCAGCCGAAGGCACATCTTCTGACGCCGAAAAAACCGAAGAAGCCGATCAAGACGACACCATCGACTCTCTGGCCTTCCCCTTCCCCTCCAACTCCTCCAACTGTCCCCAAAACCTCACCAACTCCGTCGCAGGCGAGGCCTCCTCGGTCCTCAACCTCCTGAGAGGCGACTCCTCAGCCGACCGCCAGAGGGAGCGCAGGTTCGCTTGCCCTTTTTGCGGGAAATGCGTAAGGTCCAAGGAAAACCTGAAGTTGCACGTGAGGAAACATACGGGAGAAAGGCCCTTTGTGTGTTTGTTTTGCGGCAGGGCTTTCGGGGGTAAAAGCGATTTGACTAGACACTTGAGGATTCATACGGGGGAAAGACCCTATCATTGCGATATGTGTGGGAAATGTTTTGCTAGGGCGGATTATCTGTCTAAACATCTCACTACTCACATCAATACGCCTCGCTAGGCCATTAAGATTTGAGTTTTCTATGTTCCTGTCGATAAATACGTGTGTTTTCCAAAGCTCAAAGTTACTTCGCAACAACACATTCACGAATAACCACCTTATGTATCGTTTGATTCGATAAAGTTTTTTTTTATTGACTTGGCCGTTACTTGTTGGAAATCCATGGCAAATATAAAAACTTCACAAAAGATAAGATTTCCACAAAATTCCTAAACACACAATTCGATGAACCTTCATTTTCGGAAATTAGGCACAATATCTACAATAAAATACGGTGTACTAGATTAATTTGATAGGTTTGATAGCAAATAAATATCATTATCTACTAAGAAAACAAATTCATTAGTGGTGAAATATTGAAAATGTAAAAATTTTTGAGTTTGTTGATTTCTAATGATTCAAAATGATTTAGTTTCATTCATTTATTTTCTACGTGTAGAATTTAGAAATTATCATCAAAACTATGGTTTCCTTCTAATATACAGGGTGTTTCATAATTGAATGCTGATCCTAAAGGGCGATGATCCTTGGATGATTTTAAGGAGAGAAGTTCGTCATATCAACATATGTCCTGAACCTCTTAGTTTTTAAGCTACAGGGTGTTGAAATCAGAAGCGTAAAGCGTAAAAGTTTGATTTTCGTCCCAAAACAAAATGTGTTTCCACTTATAGTGGGTGTCTACTGAATTACCAAAAACAATATCCAAGAACTGAAGAAACAAAATTCTTTGGTTTTTATTTTTTTACGCGAAAACGGTACGTTGTATGAAAGTAAGTCTAAGAACCAAATTTGCTCCAAAATGAATAAGAATTGAAAAAAAATCTGGTTCTCAGAGAAATCAGTGGCGTACTATTTTTTTCTTCAAAAATTGTCAGTTCAAACCCCGTACGGACGCCACTGGTGAGAATTTTCAAATATCTTTCACGTAAAAAAATGCTCCTTAATAATGAAAAGGTGTATACGAAATATCATAACAATATCTAAGAGTGATAAAAAATTATGATGAAAAACTCATTTTTTCCTTGAAATTTCATCACCCTGTAGCTCAATAACTAAGAGGTTTAGGACATATGTTGATATGAACTTTCCTCTTTGAAACCATCCAAGGATTATCGCCCTTGAGGATCAGCATTCAATTATGAAACACCCTGTATATAGGTATGGTCATCGTATGTTGAATTAGTTTTCCAGTTGAAAAAATAGTGCTGTTCGGTAGCAATAACACTAGGGAAAATCACAAATGAATGATATCTGTAATAACATATAATAACATTCGCTTGCCCTTTTTTCGGTAAATGCTTGAGGTCTAAGGAAAGAAAAAAACAAAATGGCGGTTCCAAAATGGCAGACGAGTTTTGTAATCATGATCCGATTCTATTCAAAATTGGTATCTGGGGTTTACGGGGTCGGAGATTATGATTCTTTCGTTGAAATTGGTATATTCAAGATGGCGGATCCAATATAGTGGAAAAGTTTTGTAATTGTGATACGAATCAATTCAATTTCGTCAAAATTTTGGATGATGGCGGATCCAATATGGTGAGAGAGTTTTGTAATTATGATCCGATTCTATTCAAAATTGGTATCTGGGGGTGTTTGAGGTCGGAGATAATGATTTCTTTGTCAAATTCAGTAAATTCAAGATGATGGATCCAATATGGCGGACGAGTTCTGTGATTATATGATCCGATTCCATTCAACATTTGTATCTGGAGGTTTTTGGGGTTGTAGATTATAATTCTTTTGTCGAAATCCGAAAATTCAAGATGGCGGATCCAATATATGGTGGACGAGTTTTGTAATTATATGATCCGATTCTATTCAGAATTGGTATCTGGGGGTTGAAGAGGTGGGAGATTATGATGATTCTGTTAAAATTGGAATATTCAATAGCTTTCTTCTCGTTCGTAAAATTAACAGTCCGAAACCATCAGGAGTATGCGTAGTTTCACAGAACTGTCGGCAATTTTCATGTTCCATGGAACTGCGCTTACTTCCGAGGGTTTCGGACTTCTTATTTTTCGAACGAGAACAAACCTGATATGGCGGATACAATATGGCGAACGGCTTTTGTAATCATGATCCGATTCTATTAAAAATTATAATCTGGGGATTGTCGGGATAGGAGACTATGATTTTTTAGTCAAAATTGAGAACTTACGAAAAATATAAGAACACTAAAAAACACGGTTCTGTAGTAAGCCGAACCGAAGAAAGAAAACAAATGGTAGTTTGGAAAACTGAAGAAACACTCTTTTATAGATAGCCAAACTGGAAAGAAGTAGAAAATGAAATAATATAAGTGTGTTGATCGTGTAGTAGGCTACTTGGGGTAGAATCACAATTATACACGTAGGCACAATAAACACTTATATTCAACTTCTGTTAGGTACAACTTGTCTCTACAATATCTGAATAATTATTGGCTATCTATAAAAGGGAGTTTCTCTAGTTTTTTAAACTACTATTCATTTCATGATCCCCTTTGGTGCATTTTAACGCAGTGAGCGGTGGTTAAGCGAATGTTTTGTTGTGAACTAAAGGTTTCTTGCAGTTATCTAACGATTTCAGTTATATTATTATGTATTCACTAGCAATAATTATAATTATTTCAGATTAATCGACACCCAATCAATCGGAATTAATTTTCAAGATATAATTATTTTTCGTAAAGAAGACAGTCATTAGGAGTAATTTTTTTTATGGAGATGCAGATGAATATTTGTTGGTCAACTATACCAGAAAATATGAAATCACATCTGCACATCATTTTCAGTCACAAAATGAGTAGAGTACCATAGCCTGTGTTATTTGTTGTTGAAGTTGGAGTAGATCTTGATCATGAACTTTCAATTTCAATAATCAAAAACAGAACACTTTATCTTCAACAAACTTGGAATTTTCGTAATCGAATTTCACAAAACAAACGTTCTTGTCATAACTTTGGGTCTTGGTAGATATTGAAATTGAACTGCGGAATCAGAATGAATAATTGTGAAAAGTCCTGAGATGAAGTTCTCAAATCTCGACTGTTGTAATTCAATCGTCATTCTATATTTCTCTGCTACATACCAATAACGAATCGATTTCAAATTATTTAAGTACCGTCCATTACCAAGGCGTTTTGTTGAGTGTTTCGAAGACATTTTATTTTCCAAAAATGATGGTTTTGACACACTTTTATGACGTCTAATATTCCCAGCCCGAACAACTCAACGATTCAACATTTATTTGGCTGTGATTAAGCTTTAGGTTTTTGTGATAATGCCATGTATTATGTTTAATTTTAAGGTTTAAGGTAGGTACTTAAAAGTTACCGATACCTAAGCAATATGTAAGTACTACCGACTTGAACATTACTCTAGTCAAACCAAATATAATTATTATGGATTGATAAGAATTATTCCCAGTATGAGAAAATAATATAAACACGATAGTGAAAGTAGTCATGTTAATTTTTGTGCCAAATTAAAAGTACATCAAGGCGTTCAGTTAGAAACAGTCCTATAAATATGTGTTTCAGCGAACGCTCAGTACTTTAGATGTATGTTATTGAATAATTATTGTAGTATTGTAGATATATATGGTATGTGTGTTTACGACGAATTTTTAAATGTTTAACATCGAAAATCCTGCCTCAATGAATACATACTTAAATACATACAGACAGATATTTTTCTATAAATATACAAAAACCACGTCCATGAACAATTTAATATTATTGTCGATTATTTTTCGGAACTTTGTTGCTCAAGGAAATAACTGAAATAATTTCAATTATAGCCATGATGATGTTAAACATTTATAATTATTTTATTATTGCCCAAGTAACTATAAATATTTTCCTCGGGATCAGATCAAGAAATGAGAATAACGAACAAAATAGTGTGAGAAAATAAATTGATATGGGAAAAATGATCCTAGAAATTGAATTTCTAAAAACTAAATATAAAGAGAACAAAATATTCGAGTCGTAGTTTTGCTTCAGTAAGTATTATACAGGGTGTTTCGAAATCAGAATCAAGGAAATGAAAAAAACATGATAGAGTTTGAACCTGTACAAATCAGAAAATTATGGTGAAACAAAAAATGAATTGAAGTGAAACTTCACTGCGTGTTTAATTCTGTAGCATGCCTCTACATATATTGTAATACTTATTTTATACCTATTCAAATGTGTGATAATTAAATCTGAATGCTTTCAGACAAATATTCATCACGTAGATTTAGTTTCTGAATGTCAACGATTTGTGCCTTCACCGATTTCATTTGAAATTGATTATATAGTCATCAGTGTTGAAAGATATGTATCGCTTTTTTGTAGAAATCGAGTTGTTGTTCATAATGTGAGCTTTTCATAAATTCAGACACATTCCAGTAGAAACGAGTTCATATACAAATGAAAACAATAAACCAAAAATCATTGTCACTACCGAAAAACTGATTCTTTGTGTGGGTGATTGTCGATTCGACAATTTGAGGACCCTGTACACGATTTGTCCATCACCAATAATAATTATTCATCATCGTTCTCGGGTTATTATTTAATATTGTCCCAAAGCAATATGCTATTCCTTTTTCATAATGAAAGTAACGTTTTAAGTATAGGATGTTTCTCTATTGTGTATAGTATTAAAGATTCATGTTCCTAAATAAAAATAAATATTTTTGTGTATGTGAAAATAATCACCAAAATAACTTATTCAGGTGAGGAAAGATTCATGCAAAGAGATTGGAAATGGGTTATTTCTATAAACAATATTGCAGAATAAGCTTTCATGAACAATATACAGGGTGTTTAGAAAAAAACCTGACCCCCTTGCTAGGGTAGGTAGAACACTGCAAAATAAGTTGGGTTTGTTGAGTGAAAAAATGTCGTAACGGCATCCGTTTTCATGATACAAGGTGTTGAAAAAATGATTTTTTTACACATTTTTGACGATTATGTCGAAACTACTGGCAACATTGTAATGGAATTTTGTATGGATGTTTCTTGAAATCTGACACATCGCTTCAATTTATTTTTATATGTCACCCTCATAGAGGGCGCTAGTTACACGGTTCGTACCGAGTAGTTTAGAACATAACTTTTTTGAGGTTAGTTTTTTCGGGAGCACGACTAAATATCCCGTCCAAAAATATCCTGTCGAAAAAATCCTGCCGAAAATAACCTGCATATTAATATATTTAGACAATGATTGCCTGACCAATAAGATTTCCATTCCTCAGTCAAATTATTATAATGATTTTATAAAGGATATAAATGATAAGGTTATTTTCAGCAGGATATTTTTGACAGGATATTTTTGGACGGGATATTTATGGAAGTAGTAATGATGCTGGTATGAAATGAATTTTATTGAGTTCAATTACCTATTTATTCAGATCCAAAAACAATAAAATTATTCTTGTGCTGAAGTTATTGATGGAATGGGAATGGAGAATCATAAGTAGGAAATCAAGAGATATTCGACTAGAAACATGAAATATTGAATCAGTTAGAGTATTTATTCAAAATATCCTACGTTTCGACGAATTCACGATTCTGTATTCTTTTCTTAAGAATGTATTATTCTTCTGAACAGTTGAGGATCAGCTGTTAGGTCATTTAAGTGATGTTCAATTATGTCTTACAACTCTTGACGTGAATTTACCTATGTAGCATAGACTTTCCTGCTCAAGATACAACAAAACTGTGTAATCCATGTTCTTATAGTCAAATCTGTTTCGATGTTATTCTTGTGATTCATTGTTGAATCAATAAGTTCAGCATCAGAAATGTATTGTTGTTTTCGGTTTCAATAAATAGGTGATAATTTTTCATGATACTCACTCTAATACGTAGCTTTATACCAGCAACAGTTATCACTTCATCATTTTCAAATCGAAATATTCTGAAAACGGAACACAGTATCGAGTTCTACCAAGAGTACCTTTTTGGTGTGAAATTGGATGATGTTCAAGTTCACATCATACTTGGATTGAAAAATCTAACCTCAAAAAAGTTACTCGGTACTAACCGTGTAACTAGCGCCCTCTATGAGAGTCAGATATAAAAACAAATGCATGCGATGTGTCAGATTTCAAGAAACATCCATACAAACTTTCATCACAATGTTGTCAGAAGTTTCGACATAATCTTGAAAAATGTGTGAAAAAATCATTTTTTCAACACCTTGTATCTTGATAACGGATGCCGTTACGAAATTTTTTTACTGAGTAAACTCAACTTATTTTGCAGTGTTCTACCAACCCTAGTAAGGGGGTCAGATTTTTTTGAAACACCCTGTATAATTCTTTCTCTAATAACTTGTTTGAATTTATGTATTTTCATTTGGACCATTTAGATATAGAATAGTATGAACAAAATAAAATGTGATGGTAGGTTACTGATCGGAATACCTCAGAGCTCGGGTATTTTTCATTGGATTTCACTGTTTTCTTGTCATAACCCAGAAGCTGTTTGCTTGAATCTAACCTCATACTATTTTATTTATATTGTCACCAAAAGAATGTTGGTTTCGCATCTTTGAGGAGGGGAATAGACTCAAAAAGTTAATATTATTCATTCTTAGATGTTGTAAATCGATGTTGTGAAAAATGGGATGATTTTTTTGTAGAATCCGATTTGGTAGAGTCGATTCAACAAGCAGAATTGCTGTATTTCTATAATAAAAAGAGTGGTGATTAAATATAGCTCAAGTTCATCAGGTATAGGTTTCTTCATCCATATTTGAATATAATGTTGAAGCTATTTTGTCTTTTCCCTTGAAGTTATAACATACAGAGTGTCCCAATGAAAACGAAACAGAGGGTCTGTAGGTCGCCAGAACCAGATTATGAAAAAACACTGGAACACTTCAACTACATTTTCGAGCAGATCATCATTCTGAAATATTTTCAGCTCTGCGGCGTTGCCGCTTCTAGCGAAAAGTAGCAACAACTTTGTTATTTCAAACGGAACACCCTGTGTTGATGCGTCCCAGTATATTGTTTCAAAATTCGATTCTGGTAATTTATACAGAGCCTCTCCATCGTTTTCAATGGTCCACTCTGTATATTGGCTTATTTAATCAGCATTCTTTTTATGAATATCTTATTGATTAATAGCTATATAAATTCTATTTGGTGTCGTTTTCAATTATCTATTATACAGGGTGGCCCGGTTTGTGATACAAAAGATCCAACAGTGTGTTGTACTCGTTGAAATAATGAAGAAAGTTCATATAAATATATACCTACGTCTTAACTCGTCGTTTTCGAGATATAGGGTGTTGAAAATACGAGTCTGAATATTGTTTTTTGATGAAAAGTTCGATAAATCAACAAAATTTCTCACAGATACTAAACTTTTCATGCTTCATGTGATGAAATGAAAATTATTTCATAAAGTAATTCAGTGGTGGCTGAATCTGGGGGTGGTGAAGAAAAAAATCACCCCAATTTTTATATGTGCATTTCTATCTCAATTTGTATATTAAAATCTGAAAATACATAGGTGTCTGCGTGCAAAACCTCACTTGTGAGTTTTTTATGCGTTTCGCCGTTTTCGAGTTAAATCGGTCCAGAAAATATAAGTTCCTTTTCAGTTCAATAATAATATTTGAGTGTGATCAAAACAAGAGTGATATGCTCACTTTTTCTTCTTATAGAGTGTAAAAAGTTTAGTATCTGAAGGATTTTGTTGATTTATCTTGAACCATTTCAAACTTTTCATCAGAAAACAATATTCAGACTTGTATTTTCAACACCCTATATTTCGAAAACGACGCGTTTAAAAGTATATGTTTATATAAACTTTTTTTATTTCAACGCGTACAACACACTGTTGAATTTTTTGTATAACAAACCGGACCACCCTGTATATTGATCAAAATTCCTGCGAGGTTTTATAGCAGATAACTTTGGCGAATCATATTTTGTATAGTGAATGGAAAATGGTCTCAGATAAACAACGATTTCTCCGAATTTTTGAAACCATTTTGTGATGTTGAAGTGTGTCGTTTGAATAGAGGCTGGAGTTCAAGTATACTTAAATGACATTTCAAACATCCTTTTTAGCAAATTAGCATACAATATACAGGGTGATCCACGGTGGATGACCTATAAGAAATATCTGGGGAACGAAATAACAGAACATTCTGAAAATTGATATGCTTTGTTAATTGAACATTCTCTATCCGTCTGAAATATTTTCATCGATACAGTGTTGCCACTACTATCAGAAACAACTAGCAACTTTGTTATTTTGAATAGAGCACCCTGTATTTTATTGCATTTTCAGATTCTTCATGAAGAACTGATTTCATCAATGTATCACACTTGGGGTCTAGCAGGAATGATTATAGAGATATAAGGTGTTCAAAATCGTGATTTTTCAATATTAGGTTTTTTTTGTGTAGAAACTAATATCGATCGAAACGGCTTACATGTCGTTATCTGAACTTCTGATTCACTATCTACTGACATTTAACTGGAACAGATACAGGGTGATCAGAATTCTGAATCTTGAAGCATCCTGTATTTTTTCCAATTAATTTCCAGTAGATAGTGAATCAGAAGTTGAGATAGGAACATGTGAGCCGTTTTGATCGATAATGAATAGTTTCGACACAAAAAAATCCAAAAATTGAAAAATCCCGATTTTGAACACACTATATATCTCTGTAATCATTCCTGCTAGACCCCAAGTGTGATGCATCGATGAAATCAGCTATTCAGGAAGTATCTGAAGATGCAATAAAATACAGGGTGTTTCATTTAAAATAACAAAGTTGCTAGTTGTTTCTTATAGAAGTGGCAACACTGTATCGATGAAAATATTTCAGACGGATAGAGAATGTTCAATTATCAAAGAATCTCAATTTTCAGAATTTTCTGTCTTCTCGTTCTCCAGATACTTCTAATAGGCCATCCACCGTGGATCACCCTGTATATACAGTGTGTCCCACTTACCATGCTCACCATGGGTATCTTTTTAACGGTGAGAGATACGAGGTCGGTTAAATGACACCAAATGTGGAGTTTGTCAAGGCCAACTATAATGTGAAAAAATATTTTGATAAAATCTATTCGTTTTTGTTTTATACGCAAAAAACAGATTTTGATCATTTTCATGTCTCCTCCGTAACTTGTTTATTTATGAAAATATTCAAATAGAAATTTCACATTCTCATGGCAGTTTTTCAAAGTGATTTCGAAAAAAATATGAAATTCATGCCAACTCTTCTAGAATTTGAGATATCAGCACCAACTTTAGTTTTTCAAATGTAGGTCATAGCTCACTATGCCTTAGTTACAAATAACTTTTTTTTCTCTTACAGATGATATGTCGCAGTAATAGTTTTGTGTTGATAACAACGGAGTTATCGTCATTTATACAAAAACAAAACATTATTTGGAAGCCGCCATCTTGAATTTATAAATTTTAACAAAAAACTCATGATCTCCGACCTCAAAAACCCCCACTTACCAATTTTGAATGGAATCGGACCAAATCTTGTCCGCCATCTTGGAGCAGCAATTTTTTTAATTTCAACAAAAATTACATAATGAATTGTCACCGGATTCACGAACATTTGCCAAATTTCAAGTTGATAGGACGGCCAGAAGTGAGTCAAAATTCACTTGCATCATTTGATTACAGACAGATATTTAAGAAAATGGCTGCTCCAAGATGGCAGACAAGATTTGGTCTGATTCCATTCAAATTTGGTGAGTGGGGGTTTTTGAGGTCGGAGATCATGATTTTTTCGTTTAAATTTATAAATTCAAGATGTCGGCTTCCAAATAATTTTTTGTTTTTGTATAAATGACGATAACTCCGTTGGTATCAACACAAAACTATTACTGCGACATATCATCTGTGAGAGAAAAAAAAGTTATTTGTAACTAAGTCATAGTGAGCTATGACCTACATTTGAAAAACTGAAGTTGGTGCTGATATCTCAAATTCTAGAAGAGTTGCTATAAATTTCATATTTTTTTCGAAATCATTTTGAAAAGCTGCCATGAGAATGTGAAATTTCTATTTGAATATTTTCATAAATAAAGAAGTTACGGAGGAGACATGAAAATGATCAAAATCTGTTTTTTGCGTATAAAACAAAAACGACTAGATTTTATCAAAATATTTTTTCACATTATAGTTGGCCTTGACAAACTCCACATTTGATGTCATTTAACCGACCTCGTATCTCTCACCGTTAAAAAGATACCCATGGTGAGCATGGTAAGTGGGACACACTGTATAACTGTATAAGTAGCACTTTCCTAGCTAGGTTGTTTGTCTGTCAACAGAGATATAATAATTGAGGTATCCTCTGGATGTATATCTATACAATTTCAACTCTTACTCTATTCAAGCAGCCAATCACTTGATTCCAAGTGCTTTAGCTGAAAGTGATATAGAAAGAAGGATTTGCTCAGATTTTTCGAAGCAAATATGGTGCTGCAATTTTGAAAGAATATGTGATATAGAATTTTTAATAATTAAAGATTTAAGGTTGTCCACACTTTCATTGTGTAACTTTATAATATATGGAAGGTTGTCATTTTTGAAAATAATGAACAGTTATTTCATCCATCTATGTACAGAGAGTTGGTCGGGTTTCTTGTTCTTCAAACATACAGGGTTTCCCAAAAGAACGACTCGACATAAAAATATGAAATTTGGTATTACGGAGGTTATCAGTAGTACCGGATCTGGAAATAATATTTGCAACGTTGCCAGATTTACAGTTTTTCCTATGGACACCTCAACTTCATTTTTTCATAAGTAATGCTATATAAATATATTCTCGGCGCATTCGATTTGTCGTGTTCGTATTACTATGACCCTTTAACATCAAATTTTGATTCCCTTAATTTTTGTTAATATGGAAATTCAACATTTCGTTAAAAAATATCAACAAATTTCAATATTTCGAGAAATCGTAGCATTCAAACTTCCTCTTTAAAAATTAAGTTGATACCATAAAGTTAGGTACATTTTTTCAACTGAATACTGGAACAAACCAAACCCTATTGATTATGTGTGAATCTTGAATCGAATTTTAGTTCTGATAATTTGTACGTTATGTACTTTCTTAACCGATAATAACAGAACTTTAATAAATATTGTGAGAATCAAGATGTTTAAAGTGGCCTTTGGAAATAGGTTATGAACTCTTATTGTTATTGTTGTCAACCATCTGTTTATTATCAAGATAAAATGGTTTTCTTGTTCAGTGAAGAAATTTGAATAAATACTTAGGAAATTCCGTGAAAATAACATGTAAATTTGACAACGTTGTAAATGATATTATTAGATGAGACTTGCCAACAAATTTCTGATAAATTGATTTCCATTGTCATAACGCTACGATTTCTCCAGATATTGAAATTTGGTGATATTTTTTAACGAAATGTTGGATTGCCATAATAACAAAAATTAGGCGGATTAAAATATGATATTATAGACTCATACAAATTTGAACATGACAAATCGAATGCGCTGAAAATATATATAGCATTACATTTGAAATAATAAAGTTGGGGGATCCATAGCAAAAACTGTGAATCTAGCAACGTTGCAAATATTATTTCCAGATCCGGCACTACTGATAACACCCGCGTACCAAATTTCATATTTTTATGTCAAGTCGTTGCTGAAATATTCGACCGTTCCGGTTCTTTTGGGAAACCCTGTATATTTCCCAATTATTTTTACATAGGTAGGTAAAGATCGAATCAACTAAGAAATATACACAGGCGTCATCGACGACTCGTGTTCTGTCTCGCTTTAAAATATTCCTGTTCTCGTCGCGTTGGAACGATGTACCAGTGGCGTAGGCGTTTTATACACGGACAAAAGTAGAATGCAATAAAATATATATTGAATTGTAAAATATCAACAAAATATTTGAGTTTTCAACTTAAACCTATTTGAATAATTAAAGTTTCAAATAAAAGTAATGAAAACTCGTTTTCATACAGTTTATTAGTCATGATACATATAAACTAACTAAAGCTAATTCTCGGAATCAAATGTTGAAACACTTGGCCATAAAAGCAACAATTTATGAATTATATATATATATATATAAAACTAAAACTGAACTTTCAAATTGTAAAGAAATCCGAAACAAAATAATTATTCACTGTCAGATCCAAGAGGCGAACATCCTAGATCGTTGTTCGATGAACTATTCTCGCTGTCCTCACTTTCATCTGATGACCCTGTATTAACAGTAAAGACAATTTGATCTAGAGAGTCATCAAGAAGGTGCTCTCTCTGTATCAATTCGTCCTCGTATTTTTTAACATGTTGACAAATGTTATACCACTCTTCTACCGATACCTCCTCAAATTTTTTTCTGGCAAGTGCCTCCGTATCAGCCAATTTGAACGTTGTGTTATGTCCTGCTACCCAGTTCTTCACTAACGCCCAAATTTTTTCTATTGGGTTCAAGTCTGGGTGGTAAGGGGGTAAACGCAGTACACAGTGTCCATGTTGTTCTAAAAGTTCGTCTAATCTATATTTAGTGGGGAAACGGAATTTATTTTCTTGAAAAATGCGGTATAGTTCGGGTTTTGTTAATTTAGGGTCTGCTGGCAATCCATTCTCTGTGAGCCAATTCAACATCTCTTGTTTCCTGGAAGCCGTGGTAATATTTTTCTTTATAGGGACGTTATGATAGGCTGCATTGTCAATAACGAGGACGGACTTTTCAGGTAGATTGGGCAACAATTGTTTCTCAACCCACGACATGAAATTCCGATGATTCATATCATCGTGGTAATCCCCGGATTTTGACCCTACAAAAACAGGAAATTTAGTCATTATCCCGACTTGAAGATAATTCTCGGAATGGTGAAATATTTATAAAAAAAAAACAAATTGAAATTACCTGATTTAAATATTAGAAGAGCATTTTTTATGAATCCTTTCTCACCACCAGCGTGTACAATAATCAGTCGTTGACCTTTTGAAATTGGCTTCTTTATTCCCTTCAAAGTCTCATCAAACCAGCCTTTGTTTTTAACATGGCTGCTATGAATGTAGGTTTCATCCGTATAAATGATACTGCGACCCTCTTTACGGTATTCCATCAGCTTCTTAAGGAAATTAATTCTTTTAAGACGTATGTCGTAGGATTCGCACAAAACTTTCCTTCTGTCTGGCATTTCTTGCCACCTATATTAAAATAAATAAGACATACGTCAAGGTTTCAAGTATCGTACAATTTAAATGAAACACTATTACCTGAATCCAATTTGTTTAAGAAGCCGATTTAAGCTGCTTATGCTTATTACTTCCTCTAAAATTTGACGGTCCATAATTTTTTGCCAAACACCTGGAATTGTAACATATTTCAGGTTTTCAACAATATAAAACTATAACAAAGCAATTCCATACACTTTAACGTGGGAAGTCGTTTCTCTAGGAGATAAAAATCATACACAATTTCCCTTATGATTTTCATCTTATCTGGTGAAATTTGATCTAGCTTCCTTTTCTTTGTTTCCCGCGTTTTTTTCGGAGATTTAAAAGATGTGCTTGGTCCTTCCCACGCAATATTTTGAGCTTCTTTCGACACCTTTTGATAAGTAAACAAAGACACCCCAGTAGCAGCCATTGTTCTTTCCCTGGAATATGTCATATTCAAACTCATCAGTCAAGAACCGAAAAAAGGAAATTATAACTATTTTTTTGCTTGAAATTATTAACAATCAAGTTTTTCAACAATGGCACACAATAATAAAAAACAACAGATTAGGAATTAAATTAGATTATGCTATTTACTTACCTGTAGTTTTTTAAAGGAATAGTGAGTCCTTCTTCTGCCTCTTTCTTCATAAAATTAGTAACGTTATTCACCATTTCTCGTCCTTGACTGTGAATAATAATACCTTGCTTCCCAACTTTTTTCGGGGACATGATGGAAAAAATCTTATATTTCAAAAACACAAAAACTATGACACCGATCACAACTAGAATACACTCAAATAGGTTTTTAACAGAACTAATGGCAACATCCAATTCGGCTCCTAATACTCAGGGATCGATGTTCACGCGACGGCTTCTCTGCGAGTTCTAAAATGGATAATGCGAATATCGTGCGATGTTGTCAGTTCATTTATAAATTGCTATTCCACATCAAGGAATACTCAAAAGCTGATATCGCGCCACTGACGCATAAATGGGAGTGGTCTGAGAAAGACGGAGAGTACTGTGTACTTTGTCAGTGATGACGCCTGTGTGTATTTCTTAGTTGATTCGATCTCTACCCAGGGTGTATCGTTGATCCAGAATATTCTCAATAATGGATTCCATTTCATCACACAAGTGTAACACTAACCTAACATTTAGTATACTCTTTGCCGAATCAAATTTCAAAAATACCTAGGTATACCAGGTATCCCAGAGCATTAAACCATCAAATATACATACAAAACATTTCAAAAAATTGTGGGAGCAAAAGATCTCGAAGACGAATCACCCTCATGTCAAACAATCTACTGGAAACCATCCTCAACTCTGATTTTTCAAATTGCACCTGCACCCCACGTTTTTTGGCTCATCTCATAGAACGTCTTAATCTCAATTCAGTTATATATCCAACTAGGAAAAAGCAAGATACTCAAAGTGAAATGCATTGGTCACAAAAAGAGAAACTCAAAGTCATTATACCACGATAGTTCATAAAATGAACGAAAATGGTAGATACCGAGAGAAAAACAACTACTTTCCTGGCTATATGTCCTGTATAGACGAATAAAATCACATGTGTTTCCTTCCTAAACGTCGAGCTGCGCCTAGGTGGTTCAGGAACGCCTGACTACCTGCATACCGGTTTCGAGCTGCTGGCTTTCATCAGTGCAGGGCTGTCCCAGATAGCATTCTTGACCGCTATCTGGTGCGAACCTGACCCAACGTAAACGAAACACGAGTATCCTTTCTTACTATTTTTGTTCCTAGAATCTGTGTTTGAAATATTTCAATGTTAAAATATTTTCGGGACACCCTGTATATCGATCGTGATGTATAGTCGAATTGAGGAAGATAAGTTCTATAAACTGAATGAGAAAACATCGGGGTGCAATTTGAATGAATAAATGAAGGAGTGGTTTCAACATTAGATTGTTTGATACAGGGGGGATTTTGATCTCACCATTTTGGAGACATTTTGCTCCTGATTTTTGATATTTTTTGTATGTATAAATTCAATTTCACCTATTGCAAAGTGAGATTTTAGTCACTTTATGCTTGAATCACGTCGATTTTCATTGGATAGTCGATTAAGTTTCAATTATTTCAATTATTCATCCCAAATGGGAATATTCTGGATTGATTTGAGTTTGAGAAAAGTATATTCCAATGATTTATGTAATTTATTGTTCTTATAAAATGAATATTATGTGTACCTATACATAATTTTTTGATGGTGTATAATATTCTACAAACAAAAGTTATTGATTGTCATTTTCAGAATATGAATGTATATGAAATAAAGAGTATAATAAGAATACCTATAATTCATCATTTCAAGTGCTCCAGCTATAATTTGTAATATACTTGCAAGTTTGCAAGTATAGGGTAATGGTAATTGGTTTCTAATAATTATCCAATTATCAAAATTCAGAGCCACAGACAATGCCCTTCAATCTCAAGAAACATCGACGCTTATGCAACTAAAAATGCACCATTAAAGTGTTGACGGTTGTCATCATAATGACAGAAACAGATATTTAAATGAAGATGGATGGCGATCAAGTCATCTATGAAATTCATGTACCTAAACCTAATCCGTGATGTAATTATTCAATGTAATCATGTTAGGTTATCGAATACCTCTACTATCTTTTGTTGAGTTGATATTAGTTTTTTTTCGAAATTCCAGTACTAAAAAATTGGTCTGAAATTGGCGGATACAAATTAATAGTGGTGCCATTGCCATCACTGTTTTTGAGAAAGTTTCCAGTGTTAAGTGTTGTTTTTTCTGCTGCTGCTGGTAAGTCTTTTTGTTTCATTTTCTATTTTTGTTTGACTTGAAATAAATGGAATAATCTATAAAACCTTGAAATCATCGATATACGCGGAAGCTGGAATAAAATACAGGTAGCAGGTCCGCAAATTTCCGGTTAGATTCCACATTTTCACAGAGAAAACCGGTACGTGCGCTGATATTTTTCAGGTTAGAGTTAGGCAAGTTAATTCTCGGGAAGATTCAGGTATATCGTTCTATCGTGAAGTGGTTGAATCGGTCTAAAATTATGATCCAGTATGCCATTCGTACCAGAAATCAGCCTGAACTTTTGTATCTGAAAAAAGTCTGTATAAATCACTGCGAAAATTCAATAATATGAAAAATGTGACTCCAATAATATAGGTAGAATATTGATATAGGTATAATACCTGTTTATGTGACAGAGAAATCGTTTTTCTGAATTCTATCCAAGTCACCGCCTCTGAACAGGGTGGAGTAGTCAAAGAACCCGTGTATAAGAAATATTCATATCTGTCTGTAGTACTGAAACTGTCCAGAGATACGAAATCATCGATTTCTACAGTGGATCCTACTTCCTGTATTGCCGGAAGATTTTCCGTGAATGCCGAATAATTCTCATTGTCTTCGTCTGATTTCTGCAAGAATTTTTGTCTTCAACAGCTAAATAGGAAAACATAACATCCCTAACTTCTTATAGATTGAGTGTTAGACATTTTTTCCGTAGTTTTCACGTCCAGGCTTGCCAACTTAGTGGATTTTACACTAGAACTGGTGGTTTTTCAAGTTTGAGATTTCGTTTTGACAAAATGTAATATCTAGTGGACGGTGTTTATTTTGGTGAATTATTTCAAATAAATGGTGAAATCTGGTGGTTGATGACCTGCATCCAAAATTCCCTTTGTTTCATGAAAAAAATCTGATTTAAACAATGTAAAACTAGAGAAGTTTCCAGAGAAATACTAGTATCAACTGAAACCACTGCCATTTTCGCCTGTGGCGCATTTTTCTTTGATTCCGTCAGGTTTGGTGTTTTGGTGATTTTGATGACCTTGACTACCGCGATCTCATGGGCTGGACTGATTTCAGGAGAAGGTTATGAAAGAAAAAAAGTAAGAAAATTGAGCAGAGAATTCAAGAATAGGTACACGTAATATTGCCAATCTACTCCGAAACGGCTTGACCGATTCGTATGAGAATTCTTGAAAATATTTGGTAGTTCTGACAATCGGTCGTAAGCTATTTCTTGCATTGAAAATTCAAGATGGCGGATCCAATATGGCAGATGATTTTTGTAATTATGTTCCGATTCTAGTCAAAATTGGTATCTGGGGGTATTTGGGGTCGAAGATAATGATTTCTTTGTCGAAATCACGAAATTCAAGATGGCAGATCCAATATGGCAGACGAGTTTTGGAATTATCATCCGATGCTACTAAAAATTGGTATCTGAGGGTTTTCGGGGTCGAAAATTATGATTCTTTCATCAAAATTTGGAAATTCAAGATGGCGGATACAATAATATGGCAGACGAGTTTTGTAATTGTGCTCCGATACCATTCAAAATTGGTATCGGGGGTGTTTGGGGCCTGAGATTATGATTCCTTCTTCAAAACTAATGAATTCAAGATGGTGGATCCAATATGGCGAAGGAGTTTTGTATTTATAAACCGATTTTATTCAAAATCTGGGTGTTTTTTGGGGTTGAAAATTATGATTCTTTCATCTAAACTGGGATATTCAAGATGACGGATTCAATATGGTGGACGAGTTTTGTAATTATACCTATATGATCTGGAGGTTCTCAGGGTCGGACATTTTGTTTGTAAATATTAAGAATTCTTTATGGCGAACGCTGAGCATTGTGATAAAAAGTAAAAAAAAACTGAAGAAACACGTCTTTATAGATAACCAAACTCAATGAAAGTAGAAAATAAATAGTTGTTTGAAAAATTTATGAGATAGATTGCCGAACTGAAAAGAAGTAGAAAATGAAATAATAAAAGCTAAAATTAACATATTTTCATGATTATTTCGAAGTCTGGATCACTTACTTCGTACAAAAAAGATAAAACGATGAGTCCATCAGGATGATCAACGGATGCCTTGAAATTTTCGTAATCGGCTTTATAGAAAACCATATGCAGTTCCAAGGGAAAACTGGAAAATAATAGATAAGGTATATTCTGAAATTCTGATCTAGTGGAACATATCTGTTCCAAAATACATCAGCTCTTACCTGTGATTATTGATTTGGTTTTCTGATCCCTCGTCATCTGTCCTTCCCCAATGGAAATGAAGCTGAGAAAAATTATACGCAGATTTCAATGGTCCACCATATACCAAGGGAAATGTTCCATTGACGATTGAAAATACAACTATAAAAAATAGAAATAGGTTTGAATCATTGATAATTTCAGTGATTTTTCTGCTATCTCCCTGAACTTTTCAGGGAAGATGGAATTTAAATGGATACTGTACATGCTAAATCCTGAAGATTGTTTTAAAAAAAGTGTTCTAAACCGTGAAATTTTAAATGAATGGGTTATCATACTCGGGTTTGAGTATAGGTATATATAGACTGTCACAAGTGTAACATATTCAATCAACTCACGTTGAGGTTCAAGCGTAAATATACAAGGTGTCCCAAAAAGGTACTTAAAAAAACCTATAACATATTTCTAAGACCAAAACAATTCGATACAAACAAACTTACTTCAGTACAAAGTTGCTTAGTTTAGACGCTAGGTGGCTGGGAAGTTACAATTTTCAAATCGTTTTTGCTTCATAACTTTGAAACGTTTCATGAGATTTTACTCAAATTTGGTACGTTGGCATAGCTTTATTACGTAATGAAACCCATATCACGATTATGTTAAACATCATTTCATGGGCGTATAGAATTTGATTTTTTCAATAAATAAACATCTGAAAATGCTACATCAAAGGGAAGGAAGGGGTTTGAAAATGAAATTTGGATTGCGTAACTTATTGCTTACTATAAAGAAGTTATTCCTGATAAAATCAGATTTCTCTCATATGGTTTCGACAAAATTTGAATTTTAGTAGTTCAAAGCATCAGTCCACACTAACACGATTTACTGATATTTCATAAAAATTGTTCAAAATGTTTGTAATTACTACGTCTACTAAGATTTATAAGATGAAAAAAAATTTAAATGTGCTATCAGCTATTTTTTTTTTGTACTGAGTAATAAGCCGGAGCCGTCTAGCGTTCAGACTGAGCAACTATATGTACTGAGATGAATTTGCTTGTATCTTGTATCAATTTTTCTTTTAGAATTCAGAACAATTTTAGAAGTTGGTTCCGCTTTGAGGACTGCTATGCTTCATAGTTATATGAGTAGTAGATATATTATTATGTGTTGTCGTTGACCACAATGAAGATGAACTCAATATTATATTGAGTTCATTGGTTGACCATTGATTGACCCGTGACCGCTCCCTGTCGGCTCTGCCGGTGGCATTAGCCACTATTTCAGTTTTCTGCCACAGTCAAAACATTAACTTTCACCCTCCACCAATAGATGTCACCTCTGTATAGACTGCCCAAGGTTGGTAGAACTGATGATAAATTGTCCCACAAAATAATCATCAGTTCTACCAGCAAGGAATAGTAGAGTGGGTGACTGATCTCTGGGTTAGTCAACTAGAGTCTCGAGATCATACCCGTGTGTTCACCGAACACGCCCGATCGTTCCCTAAGCGGTGGGGAAACGTAAACGGGCAGCAGTAACTACGTTATGAATATTGGCGCGTGCCTGAATTATTTTGGAGTCAAATTTGTCAATTTAATGTACCTACTTCGAAACGGGACACTAGTAGTTGTGCCTTCTTGTTTTACATATATTATAGGTAGACATCAAATCAATAAACATAGTGCTCTCGCCATCGGTATTTGCTGAACTTCGCTATTGGGAAAAATGTTGAATAACTTTATTGGGATGAAGAATGATATATACAGGGTGTATCTAAATAACACCGAAATAATTCAAGGGATGATTCCTTGTGATATAATATGATGAATAAAGGTCATATGAACATGTGTCCTAAACTTGCTTCGTTTTCGAGGTACAGGGTTACGTCCTGATTTCGAATCCGAAGTGATTTTCAACCTATCTTGCCTCCTAATATCATTTTCCGGAAATGTTGGTGGGTCCATGACCAGAGCAGTGTTTTTCACTGAAGATTACCTCACTTATTGGTCATAGTTGGTATATATATATCTATCGCTCCTTAAAATTGAACATTTACGTTAGATATACGGGTTGATATTCCATTATAGAAGTGACATGCACACTGTTTATATTTTTAAATACATCCAGTGGGATTGAATTTTATTTTATGTTGAATATTAGAGTGTGTTTTTTTATGTGATATATTTGTTTTGTTTATTTCAAATATATATATTTTTTTAGTAGGCATATAATTCTGAAATCTGATCCACCCTGTATTTGTTTCAATTAAATGGCATCAGTAGATAGTAAATAGGATGTTAGGATAGAGACACATGTAAGCCATTTTGACAAATCAATATAGGTATTGTATAGTTTCGATACAAAAAAAATCTCGATTTTTCACATTCTACGTATAGGTATACCTTGAGCTTGATCAACGAAATCATAGCTCAATTAGAAGAATCGAAAAATGTAATAAAATATAAGGTGTTCCATTTTGAATAACAAAGCTGCTACTACTATACTACTATAAGTACTACATAACTACTAATAATAATTTCTAGCGAAGCAGATGAACATTATCGAAAATAATTTGAATAAAACGAGCGTCCTCGCCAACAAAACATAAGCATATAATATGTACACATAGTTTCATGATTTTCGATGAGTGGTTCGCTATTTACATGTAGGACTCGTCGTGACATAGCGAATTATTGCAAATCAAATCATCGCTTTCATTATCTGATAGGTCGCAGTAGATCACTTGATGCCTATCAAATGTTTCTTATTTATTCGAAAAAAAAAGTTGAAATGTGATCAAGAAAACTGTTGATGGCCCACCCTGTACTACAAAAACAAAGACAACATGAGAGAAGCTGCCTGCCCACTCATTGTATCATGACTGCCTGCTTACGTCTCGGTCTCCCCACCGCTTAGGTAACGATCGAGCGTGTTCGGTGAACACACGGGTATGATCTCGAGACTCTTGTGGTTAGTCACCCTTATTATGTAGTTGAACTAGACTCTCAAGGATGTGTTCTCCTTCTTTCGGAACTTGAAGAGTCCCGTTGATGATGCACGAATTCAATAATAGCTGAATGGAACCATCTAGAGACAGGACGCAGAAGAAACAGGGCGCAACAAATAGTCCGTGCGGAAACATCTTGATCCTTGATCGAGATCTTGATTTGTTGATGGTGATTCGACAGATCTGTCATCTGTCACGAGTGTCACATTTTCGGCATATTCATGATTTTGTTCAAATTTCAAATTGAAACTCGAATAAAAATATTATAAATTCCTATATATGAATGATAATTTATAAGAACATTAGTAGTTTATTAAGCAAGTATCGATATTATATTAGGTACCTAGTTAAGTGAGTGTATTGTGCTTTCATCATAGACTGATCATGCTGCGGTGTGTGGTGTGAGTATTATCTGAAAATCCGAACTTGTTTTATTTTACGTACCAAAAGTGAGTAAATAAACTATTATCACAAATTATTCTTGAGGTAGGACTTCGTGTAGTTCATGAATTCACCACTGATAGTCGAAAATATAACGCACCGTTTCCATTTACACAAAAATTTGTGAAAATGAAAATGTGAACTCAAAGAAATGTGTCATGCGATGCCTGTAAATTTGGTTTGAAACTCCAGAAATTTATCCGAAAAACCATATTGGATTCTGCCCTATGGGCTCGCCTATGGGCTAAGATTTCAATTTGACATTTTCGTTGAGAAACTTCGTGGATAGGGAGTCCAAAAAGTATAAATTTTCAAAATCGCTCTGTATCTCAAAAACAGAAACAGTTATGCAAAATCTGAAAGGACCATCTTCAGTTTCACAAAAAGTGGCACAGGACCGCGAAAGCCGCAAGGTTCTATCTCCAAAGATAACTGAGATATCAACGTGAAAGCATCGAAAACTGGACACACTGTACAGGGGTAAGTTCACTTGTATCGGATTGTTTTGGTCTGAGAAATATGTGGGACACCTTGTAGAATTATTGAATATCTTGTGAAAATAGTTGATCGAACAATAATTTAGAAAGTGGAATCCTATATATTTATCTACCGAACATCTTTGTCATCGTTATCATTACGCTAATTGATCTTAATTAGTTTCTCCCTCGGTTTCTCCGTAAAAATAACCATCTGTAGGTGTCCACTTGTCACCATAACTTAAATATATCAATTGGTCGATACTTGCGTGTTAATATCTTCAATAAAAGTTTGATAAAATTGAATTTTACGTCAAATTAGTATATACCGTTCGTTAAAACAGAAATTCCTTTCGTCATTTGAATATAAAATGAATATTTACCGGTGTGTCCGTTATTTTGCAATTTAATTGTTTCTAATGGTGTATCGAAATTTTGGAAAATGATCGGAGAATAATGCACGATCGTCACATCTTTTTCTTCGATATCTATCGGGCTCTGTAATTTTCCGTTGCTGCATTCATGGTTGTACATTTGGCCCCAGAAATCCGGACCTAAAATTCGATAATATCAACAAACACATTATAATAATAATTGATTGTCTTGGTTTCAGACAGTCATTAATTATCTTACCTGTATTTCCATCGTACCCGAAATCTTGATTTTGTTCTAAAACAACAAGTTAGTACTTTACAGAAAACAAATTCCATAGCTTCAACTTTTCTGATGGGTATGGGTGTATCTAAATAACGCCGAAAAAATTCTACTATATCTATGAAAAAACTTTTTTGTATTCATTTCTCGATTGCCTTTTTATCAATTTCAATAAAACGTTGTGGTTTTGTTTATAGTAATATGGGACTTCTTCTAGTGCAATTAGATTCGAAATAATATTTCCAGTGGCGTCACAGTGGGTAAATTAATCGATATTCATGGTGAATGTCATTGTACAGGGTGGCCAACTAAAAATCCAGAGTTCGATACCTCTGTTGTCTTGAGAGATTCAAAAAAAGTTTTGCATTCAAATTAAAGTGATAACCGAGCTTCACATTTCAAAATTTCTTTGAAATACACAGGGTGTTCCGTAAGGTCACAGCACATCAAAGCTATGTTTTTTTCAATGGAATACCCTTTTATTTCATTTTTGAATTCTCCCTGAAGATCTGATTTGTCGAGATTTTCCAAGTTCAGGATTGTTTTCTGTCGAAACTGTTCATTATTCGTAAAAACGGTTTACATGTCCCTGTCTCAACTTTTCACTCACTATCAATTGGTGTTCAATTGACATTCAATTAAAACAAATTATAAATTTAGACTTTTTGATCACCTTGTATCAATTTCAATTGAACACCAATTGATAGTGAGTGAAAAGTTGAGATAGGGACATAATATGTAAACCGTTTTGACGAATAATGAATAGTCTCGACACAAAAAAGGCCCTGAACTTGGAAAATCTTGATTTTTCACACCCTTTATCTCAGTAAATATTACTGCTAGACCCCAAGTATGATGAGATGTTGAAATCAGCACTTCAGGGAGAATCGAAGAATGAAATAATATACAGGGTGTTCATATGAAACAAACATAAATTTGATATGCTGTTACCTCATGGAACACTATGTATATTCCAAAATAGTTTTGAAATGTGCAGCATGGTTATCACCGAGGTTATAACTTCAATTTTGATACATGACTTTTTTTTATCTCCCAAGACAACAGAGAAATCGAACTCTGGAGTCTTAGTTGGCCACCCTGTACACCACCGTTTTTTTTTAGTTTCATATTTTTACTAAATTGAACTATTGGAATAACAACTTTTTTATCCTCTGTGTGATTTTTGTATCTAGCTTAGTTTTTGAGGAAAAAATAAAAATTCGATTTGACTCCAAATTTCAATGTAAGTGTTTTCACGAGTGTTTTCAAGACTTTCATTGAGATTACTCTATAACCGAAATTTTGGGGCTTTCTCAGTCTCCATCCATACTGAATTTTGGCACCATGAAAGCTTATACAGGGGGGCTATTATTAAAAAGGATGAATACTTCCAACTTCAACATCCTGTATCTCGAAAACGAAGCAAGTTAGGACACGTGTTTATATGAACTTTATTTGCTAGAATGTCACAAAGCAAACACCCCTTGACTTTTTTTGGTGTTATTTAGATACACCCTATATTTACTTATTCAATTTTACGTGGGATACCACCAGACACTAAAATTCCCATGAAATATCAATACAAAATTGGTCTGTCCGGAGTTCCTATTTATTATAGGAAATTATGAATTATTGATTCCCAATAATTGAAATCGAATAAAAAATCAATCATTTCAAATTTGATTGAATAAGTAAATACTCAGTGAATGAAAATTATACAAACTATACGTTTAGGTAGGTACTCACGAGATATCTGGCCAAAATCTTGAGAGTATGCTAAAATAAAAAATGTATTATTATTGTTAGGATCAACTTGTCATTTCGCCAAATCACAAATTATTATTGAGCCTGAAAAACTAGGTACCTATTTGTAATACAATTGATTTAAAGACATCGAATGGCACAGAGTAGCACCTCAAATTAGAACGAATTATTCAAATAATATCTATTGAAAATATGATGACAAAGTGATAATTCAATTAAAATCGTTGTATTGAAAAGGAATGTTCTCAGATATAATAAAGAACACAAAAAAAATTGATATATATACAGGGTGAGTCAATAGTATGTTCTCCTTCGATATTAGCCGAACCGTCAGGTATATAAAAAATATTCGAGCACGACAGTAACAAGATTTTATGAGAGCTATCACCTGAAATTATTTTTATATCTATAGGATGTTCGAATTCCAAGATATCGGCTGATGATGGGTGTTTTTGAATGAGACACCCTGTATATTATTGCATTTTCGAATTTTTCCTGCCGATTTCATCAATGTATCAAACTTGGGGTCTAGCGAAAAAGATTACAGAGATATAGGGTGTTCGGAATCGAAAATTTTCAAATTTGGAATCTTGAATTTTGAACCACCCTGTATTTGTTCCGATCAAGTGTCAGTAGATGTTGAATCGAAAGTTGAGATAGGGACATGTGAGCCGTTTCGACCAATAAAAAATAGATTTAACACAAAAAAATGGCAAAGTTGAAAAATATAGATTTTGAACACCCTATACCTCTATAAATATTTCAGCTAGTCCCCAAGAGCGAAACATTGATGAAATCAGCTCTCAAGGAAGAATCTAAAATTGTAATGAAATACAGGGTGTCTCATTCGAAAACACCCATCATAAACCGATATCTTCGAATTCGAACACCCTATAGAAATGAAAATGATTTTAGGTGATAGTTTCCAAGAAACCCTACAACTGTCGTATTGGAATTTTTTCTATATATCTGACGGTTTGGCTAATATAGAGGGAAAACACACTATTGGCTCACCCTATACATATGAAGGAATACATTGAGAATTCGCATTCTCCATGTGATGAAAATATTAATTTTTTCTCGGTTTATTCAACAGAAAACAACTACTTTCCTGGCTATATGCCACGACGAACATTGAATTATATCGATTGAACACACACGATGAGAATTTGAAAACAAAATCTTCTGAAGTAGATAATTTGCATTCTCCTTCATATAACGATATTCACATAATATCATTCTGAATATTCAACAGAAACAATAAAATAGTAATAATCAGTATCGGTAGACTAATGAAAAATTAATTATGATAATTTTGATCCTATATATAAGTTTTATAAAGGGTTGATAAATGTTTGACTCACCATATTCGAAAATAAAATACAACACCAGCACAAATTCCGATATAGTCTTCATTTTCACAATGAGATTCTGCAAACTCCGATGTTACGATAGCAGATGCTGGTTGTAGATTGAAGAGGATGATCACCATGTATAGGTAGGTATTGAACTCGGTATGGAAGGATCAAATTTTGGCGTCGAGAGGTGGAATCGTCAGTTCATTGTGTATCATCGTTAAATATTTCAATTTTAATACCACTATTATTATTGTCTGTATTATTCTGTAGGTTTCCAACAAGAGCGTAGGCAGTGAACTTGTAAAACTATATAGTTATTTATTATACAATGGAAAAAAGTAGTAGATTTTAGCTCCAGGTTGTGTTGTCTCCCGACGCGTACCGGAGGGAGACAAAAAACCGTGAGCTAAAATCTAATATTTTTCCCGTGTATAATACACTATTTTTTTCTGTGACAGAAGGAAGGACGAATCAATATTGGGAAGATATTACATTATTTCGAAATCTGAAAATTATCGACGTGAAATTTCAAGTTTTTAACAGTAGGGACACCTGCGTTTTATAGACATCTTCATCATTCCTTTGAAGTAATCAAATATCTGATGTCACTTCTGTCAGTTCAATTCTGTGATTTGATTTTAAGAAATTGCGAATTCAGTAGTTGTTTAGTAATATACGAAACCGCGAAGTCGAATGGAAGATAAAAAGACTTGCAGTTCTTTCTCGGAGACGGTATTATTGACTTATTTTTCGGAACTATAGCACAACAAAAGCCATTAACAGAGTATATATATGTGATATATATCCGGGAAAGAAGTACTCACTTTTTTCCCACGGGAAAAAAGTAATTTATGAAAAGTGACATTTTATAACCTGCCAACAGAGATGAAATGCCAAACTTTTTTCCCGTCACAGAAAAAAATATTTTTTCACCGATGAAAACACTAACAAAGTAGGGACCTATTATTACCTACTATTGTCAAAAAAAGTTTTGAATTCAATAATTTAGGACATTTCTGCTTGCATTTCTGTTATTTTGAGTGATATCCGACAATATTCTGTGTTGAATTCTGGAAATATGAATATACTGTCTGTAGGTTAATCGAGTGGTACATTCATTATTCCACACATCGACAAATCGAAACTAGCTGAACATATCTTCACTGAAGACGGACAACATATGGCAGAATGGAATAATAATAAAATCATTGGAAAAGAAGATAACAACCAGAAGAGAAAAATCAAGGAATCTGCTTGCATTCTTCTGAACGGAGCCAATAACATTGCTTCTTGTTCAGTTGATATAGACAGCACATGGTATTCACTACTGAAATCTGAACATGAAAATGGTAAATTCAAGATTAATTAATGAAAACAGAAAAGTTTCAAGACAGATACGACTTTGCTATTAAAATAACCATTTTTTATGTTGAAAATGGGAGCAGATTCGGTCCCGAAACGTCCTAAGAAAAGTGAAAATTTGATATTTTTTCTATATACCTTTATTTCTCTTCTCCAAACTTTTTTCAATACGAATTGTCACTGACAAGCTAGTGAATTTTGTCATTTAGGAAAATTCTTTAAACGCAGTGACATTTTGGGGCAAATCATCTGATTTGTCCTTACTACACGTATATTGAAACAATATTCATATTTTTATTTTATAGAAACGAAAAAATTTTGAATAATGAAGATGATTATACTTATATGACGTATGAGTTTATAATTATAGGTATTCGAAAATGTTCTACTCATATTTGATCAGCTTGAATGATTCTGAAGGTTGCGGGATTGAATGCGATCTCTCCAATTATTGCAATTCAGGAACTGCTATATCGTGAATAAGTACCTATCTAATGAATCTCATTATATCATATTAATTTTCATTATCACATCATATTTTCTGGTGAAAATTTAGAAAAATTAAAAGAATCTGAGGGTTTTCGAGTTCTAGACTGTTCTGCTGATATATAGGTACTTTACATCAGTCAGAGATTCTACAGGCTGACTGAAAAAAAACCACCCCAAGCCATATATAAGTGAATTTCTTTTTATGTTCTGGTTCCCACGAAAAGGGATATCCTGTAATGTTCAGAGAACATCGTGAGAACCAAGGGAAATAAGGCAGGAATTGATGTTCTTCTTAAATTTCTGGAGGATATATGCCTTGGGAAACACCTCCATTGACAATGTGTTCCAGAGCCTCGCTGTTTTTTTGGATGAACGAGTCTTTGGAAAGTGATGTTCTGCAGGTCTCCAAAGTGACCACGATGGGGTGCGAAGCCTCATCTCGACGGGTTAATCTCGCGGGGACTGCCAGGGAAGAACAATTGTTTATATTTCAGAAGAGCATCGTCCATGAAAATATCTATAAAATAGAGCCAGATCACCAACTTTTTGTGAGTTTGTGAGCGAGACATCACCCACGAGACGAATTGCCCTTTTTTGGACAGAATTCAACAGTTTCAGGTTATGTTTGGGTGCTGCACTCCAAGATGGGAACAGTATTCCAGGTCGGATCTGTGCCTTATAGATCATGAGCAGCTGACTGGAAGTGAAATAGCTCCTGGCCCGAAACAGAAAACCAAGTTTTTTTGATGCACTTCTTGCAATTGATCTTTCGTTATTTTCCCAAGAAAGGCTATTGCTGATAGGATGAATCAGTACTATTTTCATCCATAGATGACTCAATTTCCTTTCTGATTTCTTTCAGATGGTCTTTTCTATCGGTGACCGCGAAAATTGAGAGATGGTCATGTGATCGTTCTCTGGAGGGGTGGGGGGGGGCAATAAAGACAGTTGTTCCTAAAACCATAGTTTGATGGGAATCGCCGTTTCTTTGACCACCACGTTATATGTACCTATCCAGAATGCGGTCACATGACATGATAGGTGAAACGAAATATGTTATAGTGGTAAGTGAAATATTATTTCATTTCATTATATATTTGCAATTTTTTTGAGTACCTACTGATTGATAAGATGACAATAAAATTCTTGAATTTATTAGCTGATGCGAATGTTCGAGCAATCAACATAACTTTCTCTCGATAAGTAATAAAAGTATCAAACAATAATTCATATGTATAATTCGGAAATTCAAAAAATCCATTGTTTTTCAGAACACTTGTATCTCCTCTCAAAAAGAAGATAATGACGGAGTGATCACAATGCTAATAAATAAAAATAACGATCAGAGCCTATGCTCATGATTTCCGATGAGTCATTCAATTTGATTTATTGTTTTTCAAAATTGGATAGTTAATAGAGGCGCTATGGTTTGAGGCGTTTTTTGCCAAGTCAGCCCGAATATCATTCCACTTCGTATAGTACCTTTTCATAGCCAGATATTTTTTTATATTTCTAAGAAACATAGTGGTCATTGGACATACCGCGTATTGAGTAGGAGTAAAAAACATCAAGATTTTATTATGATATATTCCGACTCATTTGCATTAATTTCAATGGTTAATAATAAATAATGATTTATAAACCTATTAAAACAACAATAAGAAGATTTCAATGTACCTATACTGAACACGAACAAGTTTGGTTAACATTCAGAAAGTCAATGTCAGTAATCAGTAGTGCGAGGAAATAGGTTGTTTTGTGGAAATAGGGGCATTCTATACGATGATTAAGGCAGAGAGTAGCAGAAAATTGTAATTTTGGGTTTGTAAATTTAAGAGAAGTGCAGCTTTTTTGATATTATGTTACCCAATGAGCTTCTCGTTCTCGGTCGCGTGATATCAGATTCGAAATTTTCAACCTGTATATTTTGGCATTTGATCTTTGATCCCCGATATAAAACAATTCCATGCAACAAACTATCATACTTGTGCATGGCCTAAAACGATTAATTTAAGTACAGATAGGTACATAATTCAATATCCTTTTTCTACTCACATAACTAAAATGGCATTTAGCGTACGGATATGTACCACGCTAAATGATTAATCACGGATTGTCGATCTGTGATTTATTCAAAATATTAAACACGTTACCATGGCAACACGATTTCTCAAACACATTACCATGGCAACGCAGTTCATTAAACACAGCTTCAGTAATTTGAGACATGTCTGGCCTGTCAATTGTATTAACTGTCAACTGTTATTTTCGAATTTTGTATCAGAATTATTCAAACAATATTCGTTTGTATCAGAATTGTTCATCAAAAATATATGCGAAAAGTAGACGAAAGTGAAATCGAAGAGAATGTTCTGGTACTTGCATATTTCCGAAAATCCACGCGAATTATCGTTTTTCCAGTAGAAAATGACACGCTGAATCGAATGAGACTATAATCAGCCCGATAGGACAGATAGTTTTCGAGATATCGACGCTCAAAGTCAACTTTTCGCTTTTATTGCCAATAGAAGCACTCCGGTAGGCTACTACGTCTCTATTTTTCAGAATTACCCGATTTCCACCACGGATTCGTTAATTTTGACATTGAATTATTCTATGTGAATTTTTTCAGATTTTTAATAGGCCAAATAAAAATTTTCATTTTCTCACCTAAGACTTTCATACGATAAAGTCACCGAGCCATCTTCGGACGGCCGAAAGTGCCAGAAAACGGCGAAAATCCACGCGAATTATCGCTTTTCCAGTAGAAAATGACACGCTGAATCGAATGAGACCATAATTAGTCTGATAGAACAGATAGTTTTCGAGATATCGACGCTCAAAGTCAACTTTTCGCTTTTATTGCCAATAGAAGCACTCCGGTAGGCTACTACGTCTTTATTTTTCAAAAATACCCGATTTCCACCACGAATTCGTTCATTTCTACATTGAATTAGTCTATGTGAATTTTTTCAGATTTTTAATAGGCCAAATAAAAATTTTCATTTTCTCACCTAAGACTTCCATACAATAAAGTCACCGAGTCATCTTCGGACGGCCGAAAGTGCCAGAAAACGGCGAAAATCCACGCGAATTATCGCTTTTCCAGTAGAAAATGACACGCTGAATCGAATGAGACCATAATCAGCCCGATAGGACAGATAGTTTTTGAGATATCGACGCTCAAAGTCAACTTTTCGCTTTTATTGCCAATAGAAGCACTCCGGTAGGCTACTACGGCTCTATTTTTCAAAATTACCCGATTTCCACCACGGATTCGTTCATTTCGACATTGAATTAGTCTATGTGAATTTTTTCAGATTTTTATTTATTCTGCGCTATGCATGACAATAAACGTTAAACAAAGGTTAGTAAGCAATGGACTGGACACATCTACAACCAATATCACTTATACGTGTCTCGCTGGTTGCATGCAGTTGCATGTATTATGTTCTCAATTCCCATTCCTTTCGAATTATTTTGTATAGGTTAGCAGGAATAGCAGGTGTGTTAATTTAATTTTCGGAGTTCGTAGAAAAAGCATAGTATGTAACGCGTTTATAAACTTTTCTAGATACTCGTTTATTAAACACTCGCTCCGCTCGTGCTTAAAATACTCGTTACTAAAAGGAGGTTTATAACACTTGGTACATAATATACTATTAAAGAACTGTGTTGCCATGTTAATGTGTTTAAGAAATTGTGTAGCCATGGTAACGTGTCTAATTTTTTGAATAAAGTAGAATACCAATAAAACACAATCCCTATCGTCTTATCGTTGAATTTTATTGAAATATCGTATAAAAACTAAAAGTCAAAAATACAGTCAAAATACTCGCACGAACACCAAACGAACCATTACACCCTACGGTTTCATTAACCACCCCCGGCAAACATCGACACCCACCCCCAAAACACTCTATTACCCCGGAAAACCCCTCGTTGGGCAAACATTCCTCATGGTTTTCGCAGGACTGTCCTAGCAGGGCCGTCCTGGTACAGCGATTGCTGAAAAAGTGAGGTGATTATACGGGGTGTCCCAGAACAACGTACCATAAATTCTACAGGGTGAACTAAAGACCAAAATAGACCGACTGAAATCAATATACCTCTATGGGAAAATGCAACGTTGACCTGTGAGAGGGCGATGAAGAACATTATTATTTCCAGAATTCTTGGAAGGTTCTGCTCTGAAATTCGTAGTGCCATTTACTATAGTGAACGTGCATGAAAAACATGTCATACCAATTCAATCAATATACAGGGAGTTGAGTATTTCGCAATCTCGTTGATAAAAATCAATGTAAATTTTTGATTGAGCAGATTTTGATATTTCGAATCGAGTTTCGAGTTATGACAAAACTGCAGTGTTTTTATAATTTTTCTTGATTTTCGAGATATCTAATAACAAGATTCATTATGACGATTATGACGAAAGTATCATATGATAATTTTGTTCGCCATATTCAAATTTATTAATTTTTTTCTTGAATGAAGTTTTTTTAACAGGAATCCTGAACTGAAATTTGTAAATGACCAGCTCCCAAATCAAATGATAAAGGGCTTGTGAATTGGTGAACATCATGATTATTTTGGTAAATAACTTAACACAATTGAGGTAGAAACGGGTCTTGGAAGTCTGCGAGTCCCAAAAAACTGTTTTTGGACGTGTTGCTTACACTATTTTTCGGCAAATGTAGAATAACATATCAATGAGACACATTTCCATATTATATTTCTTAGTAAAATACAATTTCATCTTCATTGATTTTCATTTGTATGAAATACTGAAATTTGAACAGAATACCTATACCTACTAAATGCTATATTGGAAATTTCGTATGGACATTTTCAAACAACATATCGCAGCTGCTTCCGATAGTTTATTGCGATAATTGCAACCAGACTTTCAAATATCAAAATGTCAACTAATTTCATGTCGAATAGCTGTCAGCCGATATTTCGCTGCAATGGTAATTATCATCTGCATATTCATCAAAACCATATCTACCGAGATTTTCATAGTTACAGTGACAACAAGGATGTGATACTTCCCGGACTAGGCCGGAAAAATGCAACTTTCTCGAAAAAAAAAGGGTCCGGGAAGTGAGAACTACCCGGACGTTTCATTCGATTGTGCCATAGTGGAAGGAGAAGATGGTGTGCCTACGCGCATATTATGTGACGTCATCTGGGATACGAATGACAAGTGCTAGTCAAAAACAGAAATAATTCAATTTATATAAATAGGTACCTCTATTCCTTCGATTTCACTATTCCATTGATTCTGGAATTTGTGATCTTGCGGTAATTCGCAATCATAAATAGCAAATACATACGAATAATCATGCATTGCCAATCCCATTGAATGATCCACCACTGTGTCAATTCTGACAGTTGAAAATTCAGCAGTTGACGACGTTGACGTAGCTTCTGCTTTGACATCGACAACAAGAGTACGGTTTTTTGTCGTTCTGTTATGCAAATCGTTGCTGCAATTTATAATTTTTGAGGAATTGAGTGTTTTTAATTAACCTCCAATTATTTCTCAAATATTTTGTTATTTTTTGGAGGTGTGTAATTCAACAACTATATACTTTCAAAAGGGTCGTTTGAGAACATTTTGCATGGAAATATTTCGAATACGTGCTGGATATTGATCGTGATGATAATATGATGATAGGTGAATTCTTTAGAATGAGGATATAAGGAATATAAGGTAGATACCATTATTTGAGCTTATTTTCGGTCGCCTTCAAGTTTCCACTCATCGTTTCATTAGGTATCCATTCTTGGAAAAACAGAAATATTCAATACCAGTGCCTCTTGTATATTAGTTGAAATTTCCATAACCAAAAACGAAACATGTGGGCATTTTGAAATCATTTCATTCAATTCCAGAACTTAATCTAAAGTTTGGGACATCGATTACAAAACAAATAATAACAATGACAGTTATATCCCAGTTAACGTCATGCGCAAAACGAGACGAGTTTGATCTTTCTGTTGAGCACACCATCTTCTCCTTCCACTATGGATTGTGCTGAAAGGGCTGTGTCCATTGTATATACCTGTAAAAGTGTTGTCCTGCTGGGCATTCGCATCTTCCGCGGCTGCAAACAGTGCCCTTCAGGAATGAAGAGCACTGCTCGTTTTCTTCGCAGAGATCGCCCAACTCCGTAGCAACTGAAAAATACGAGAAAATTTAATCGATAATAATAATAATAATATTCATTTCACTTGTTAAACAGTATGAAAGCGATATAATACACATTTTCGTACAGTAACAAGGAATTCGTCGGTGTATAAATAAGAAAGTAAAAGAAGAAAATACATTCGAAGAAAGACAAAATTAATTATCGATGGTTATTAAAACTCGTCAACGGTGTAGCAGTTTCTTTCTATGAGATATATTTTCAATTGTCTTTTGAATATGGAGATATTCTTTGAATCATTAATAGAACCATCTAGCTTGCTAAATAGTTTGGGTCCAAGGTAGAGGTGACTCGTCCTTCAATTCTACATGCACAGCTCTTTGAGAAATCTAAATCGAAATAAACTACGCAACAATGATTTCGTCGCACCCCAAAATTTTGCCTCTGTTGAAATATGAAAAACTTTGTTCTGCTTTGAACGATTAGAATTCGGATCACCCTGTTCGCTAGCCCAGTCCATCAGCTATAATCTCGTAATTCTTTGAAACATGAGGTTCTTCACATAAAATCGCTACAGGGTGTTACCTGAAACTGTGCAAAATTTCGGAAATTTCAAAAGGCTCCCAAATGAAGAGGAACGTGAGATAACGTGCTTCATTCCATCATTCAGTATTTCTTGTATCACTTTGTATAGACTTTCTCAGAATGTTCTGTGTTGGAACACAATCACATATCCGACGACTATACATACAACGTTGATTCTTAGAAAAAGAATTCCAACTTCCAATTTTATTCAATGAATCGTCGAAAGAATGCATCATTTTGAATGAACATTCATAACACGATTATCAAAGCTCTGAATTTGAATATTTCCGAAAACGTTTATCAATCAAGAGGATACAGGTGAGGAAAAAAAAGAAAAAAAATTATCTGTTCAAACGGTAAGGTGACGACCACGATGCAATTTTACACCAATTCAATTATCACCCTGTAGCAATGTCATCTGAATTTACAGAAGTTTCATATTGCCACAACAAATTGTCAAAAGATTAGGATAATCATCGGTAAAAATCGATTTCAAATTGGTAGGGAAATTCGTGAGTTATTCTACTTTCAATTCAGGCTATATTTTGGACAACGACATTATCAATGTTGACCAGTTTATATTATATTATATTATATTTACCAAAATGGCCATGCATAGCAAAAAAAAACAGCATTCTGAATTACAATTCACACATTCTCATTAACAACTTGAAAGGGTGAAGTCGAAAAAATAGTGCCCCTCGCCCCTCAACTCACCCCTCAGGCACTTCTTCTCGTCTCTGGAAAGCGCATAATTCGCCGCGCACGTGCATGTCACTCGGCAAACCGAGTTCGGGACGACGCCGCATTGAGCGTCGTTGTTGCAGGACTCTGCCAAACGACGCCCGTCGACGCAGCTTTGGCGGTCAGATGCCGGCACTTGCCTGTCGAATTTGCACCCGCATCTGCCATTGTTGCAATTGCCGAACGTGCCGTCGTTCAGCCAGCAATTGCTGTCTCCGCGACAAAAATCGCCCAGTACTGGGAAATGATGAATATATAGCTTTTTGGCACTGATAAAGTCTTATTTGAGCAGTAGAACACAGTACGTAAAAATTTCTAACAGTACATCAAATCCAATCTATGTGACTTCTGGAGTCCCCCAAGGGTCCCACATTGGTCCTATACTGTTCTTATTATTCATAAATGATGTCACTGATCTATTTCAAAATTCCACAGTATCACTCTATGCTGACGATTTCAAATTTTATAAAGAAGTAACTTGTTTGAATGACTGCCAGATTATCCAACAAGACTTGGAGAAGTTTTGTAACTTTTGTGAACTGAATTTATTGGATATAAATGTTGATAAATGCAAGGTGATGCGTTTTTATAGAATACAAAATCCAATTGTATGTAATTATTTTATTGATAATGTCAATTTACAGTCTGTTGAATATATAAGTGATTTAGGTGTTGTGTTCGACAAAGACCTTAGTTTCAACCATCACATAAATAGTATTTGCAATATGGCCTTGAGAATGCTTGGATTTGTGAAAAGACACACTCAACATATATCCAATATTGAATCGATAAAAACATTATATCTATCGTTGGTACGTAGTGTTCTGGAATACAACAGCATAATCTGGTCGCCATTTTATCTTGGTCACAAGGAAAGACTTGAAAGAGTTCAGAATCGTTTTACAAAATTCATAATCTATAAAATAAGAATGTCTTTTCATCGATTTGATGCTACTACGAGGCTCACAATAGTTAACATTCAGACTCTTGAAGACAGGCGCAAACTTGCTCTGATCTTGTTTCTGCACAAAATTTTTAATAACTCCATCGATTGCTCTGATATCCTGAACAAATTGTTCATAAATGCTACTCCTAGGAATACTAGAAATAGGCAGTTTTTCTATTTGCAAAATCACCGAACTAATTATGGCAGCACTGCATTCACATCTAAACTTCAGAAGAATTACAATGATCATTTTGCTTCCCTTGATATTTTCAATATTTCATTGAGTCGCCTTAAATCACAAGCAAATCACAAGCTGCGGTCTGAATTTGAATTAGTACATACATAGTTTTATGTGTTTTTTTTTTGTATCCTATATTTATATAGTTTTTATGATTTTTAACGTGTTGAATGTTTATTGTTTTATACTTTATGTACCATTTGGAATTATATATTATTCTGTGGTGTACTTTGATGAATAAATAAAATAAATAAATAAATATCAGAAAAGGAATATTCTCAGATATACCGGGTGTACCACTAAGAAAGGATGCCGGCTGTATCTCGGAAACTATTTGCCGCACAGGTTTCGGAAAAAAATATTTAAGATAAAAGTGGCCAAGAAAAATATCTGGAAATTATTTTCAAGTTTCCAGGACAGCCGCTAGAGGGCGTAATTTCATTGGCCAACTTAAAAAACGGGTTTTTATGAAAATTTTATATATCAAGACTTATCAGAAACACTTTTTCCATGTTCTCGAGTTGATTTCCAATCATTTCGATCAAAAAAAATTGCGCTAGCTCTTTAAATAAAAGAGGAAGGGAAGGATGAATAGTACTCTGGAAAAACTCTCATTACTACAGTTTGGTGGAACGGATTTCAACGATCTTGGTCTCATTATGAAGGGTTTTTTCAGATCTTCCCGATAAATCACGAATCAAGTCGATTTAAATCCTGTTGTGGCCGCTAGATGGCATCATTTGAAAAATTAGCCGATTCGCCATTTTTTTCGAGAATTTCAAATGGAACCATATATTTTTTTCTGCTATGATATGAAAGTTGAGTAAACGAGAAGAAAAATGGTGAAAACCGCGAGTTGATACCGGAGAAATACTCGGAATAATATTAAAATTCAAACTGTTAGCATGTCAAATGCCTCCTCATTCGTTATCGACATTTTGACATACAAGCAATCCACAATGAACAGTGAAAACTTCCAATGTTCAATTATATTTTGACGTTTCTTTCGTTCAAATTAGCTATGTCATTACTAAGAGTCTCCTTCACTATTGTGAGATATAACAGCAGTTTGTGAAACCAAAATAAATGAATTATTGGAATAAAAATTTTATAGATACAGGATATTTCTGATTACGATCATTGAAGTTAGATTCCTGTGGTGAATATTTTCATAATATTATTTCGAGTATTTCACCGGTTCCTCAAGAGGTATCAATTCGCGGTTTTCACCATTTTCCTTCTCGTTTGCTCTACTTTCATATTAGAGTAGAATGAATATGTGGTTCCATTTGAAATTTTCGAAAAAAATGGAAAATTGTCTGATTTTTCTAACGATGCCATCTAGCGGCCACCACAGGATTTAAATCGACTTGATTCGTGATTCATCTGGAAGAACCAAAAAAGCCCTCCATAATGAGACCAAGATCGTTGAATTCCGTTACACCAAACTATAGTAATGAGAGTTTTTTCAAAATACTATTCATCCTTCCCTCCCTCTTTCATTCAAATAGCTAGCGCAATTTTTTTTGATCGGAATGATTGGAAATGAACTCGAGAATATAAAAAAAGTGTTTTTGATATGTCTTGATATATGGAATTTTCATAAAAACCCGTTTATTAAACTGGCCAATGCAATTACGCCCTCTAGGGGCTGTCCTGGAGACTTGAAAATAATTTTCAGAGATTTCTCTAGGCCACTTTCATCATTCATATTTTTTTTCGAAACCTGTGCGGCAAATAGTTTCCGAGATACAGCCGGCGTCCTTTCTCAGTGGTACACCCGGTACAGTTGATGAATTTTTGACATTTTTACAGAACTGATGATCTTTATACAGGGTGAGTCATTGAAATGGGAAAGTGAGATAACGACTTCGCTGTTTGACATAGATGAATAAAATTTTTTGTGATGGTCTAGGCTCATGAGAAGCATATTTCTAAATCACTTCGCGTATACAGGGTGACTCAAATATGCGTGGCGCATGAAAGTTATACTTTTTATTATAGGACACCCTGTATTTTATTACATTTTCGGATTCTCCTTTGTGAGCTTATTTCATCAATGCATCACACTTGGGTCTAGCAAGAATGATTACAGAGATATAGGGTGTGCAAAATCGAGATATTTCAACTTTAGGATTTTTTTAGGTCGAAACTATTCATTATTGGTCAAAACGGCATTCATGTCCCTATCTTAACTTTTGATTTACTATCTACTGATATTTAATTTGGACGAATACAGGGTAGTTCAAAATTCAGAATTATGAACCACCCTGTATTCGTTCAAATTAAATATCAGTAGATAGTAAATCAAAAGTTGAGATAGGGACATGTATGCCGTTTTGACCAATAATGAATAGTTTCGACCCAAAAAAATCCTAAAGTTGAAATATCTCGATTTTGCACACCCTATATCTCTGTAATCATTCTTGCTAGACCCAAGTGTGATGCATTGATGAAATCAGCTCACAAAGGAGAATCCGAAAATGCAATGGAATACAGGGTGTCGCATAAGAAAAAGTATAACTCTGATACGTCACGCATTTTTAAGTCACCCTGTATAAAGCGAATTATTTTGGAAATGTGCTGCTCATAAACCTAGATCATCACAATAATTTTTGTTCATTTATCTCAAACAGCAAAGGCGTTTTCTCACTTTCCCATTTCAATGACTCACCCGGTATGTGATGTTTTTATTTTATTTCAGTCATTTTACCTTATTGTTAATTATTCAAATGTGTATTTGTATTTTTCGTGTATTTTGACTTGTCCAATAGCTTTTGTAAGTTCGTTTCACTACTACTACTACTACTACAACTACTACTACAACTAGCTGGTGTCGAGCTGTGTCTGCCGCCTGGTGTCTTATTGAAGATTTTCTTCCACTCAAAAAAAAAAAACTACTACAACTACTACTACAACTACTACTACAACTACTACTACAACTACTACTACAACTACTACTACAACTACTACTACAACTACTACTACAACTACTACTACAACTACTACTACAACTACTACTACAACTACTACTACAACTACTACTGCAACTACTACTACAACTACTATTACAACTATTACTACTACTACTACTTCTATTATATACTCACCAACAGAGACATAGCATTTTTTGTCGGTGAATAAATGTGAATTTTCTTTACATCGACAAAGGCCATCAGAACACTCGGCATTTTCCGTTAAACTCAGTTGGCATTGTACGTTTCTTTCACATTGCTCTCCATAACCTGCAGCTGTAATAAGATAATATATCTTCAATGATGCTAATTTCAAGCTAGCGATAGATACAACTTACACCCTAAGCATGCGAAAGAAGTCTTGTTTCTGCTGAACAGTTCGTATCCTTCTAAACATTTGCATCTTCCTATTTTTTCTTGATCGTTATCGAAACAAAATGAATGATTGCTCTTCTGATGGCAGTCTGAATCCACTCTGCAATTTGTATAGGAAACTGTAAGAGGTATTTTTGATAATTATACAATAATGTCTGGATATTCTCAGTGTATCTATCTTCAGAATTTGGACTCAGGCGGAATTTGGAAATTCAAGATGACGGAACCAATATGGCGGACGAGTTTTGTAATTATGATCCGATTCTTTTCAAAATTGGTACCTAGGGGTTTTCGTGATCGAGGATTATGATTCCTTCGTCAAAATGAGGGAATTCAAGATGGCGGATCCAAAATGGCGGATTTTGCGATAATTCGCGTTGATTTTGCCGTTTCCTGGCACTTTCGGCCATCCGAAGATGGCTCGGTGACTATATCGTATGGAAGTCTTAGGTGAGAAAATGAAAATTTTCATTTGGCCAATTGAGAATCTGAAAAAACTCACATAGACTAATTCGATGTCGTCATAAATGAATCTGTGGTGGAAATCGGGAAATTCTGGAAAATGGAGACGTAGCAGACTATCGGAGTGCTTCTATTGGCAATGAAAGCGAAAAGCTGACTTTGAGCGCCGATATCCCAAAAACTATCTGTCCTATGGGGCTGATTATGGTTTCATTCGATTCAGCGTGTCATTTTCTACTGGAAAAGTGATAATTCCTGAGGATTTCCGCCGTTTTCTGGCACTTTCGGCCGTCCGAAGATGGCTAGGTGACTATATCCTATATCGTACTGAAGTCTTAGGTGGCAAAATGAAAATTTTTATTTGGCCTATTAAAAATCTGAAAAAATTCACATAGACTAATTCGATGTCGAAATGAACGAATCTGTGGTGGAAATCGGGAAATTTTGGAAAATGGAGACGTAGTAGCCTACCGGAGTGCTCCTATTGGCAATAAAAGCGAAAAACTGACTTTGAGCGCAGATATCTCGAAAACTATATGTCCTATGAGGCTGATTATAGTCTCATTCGATTCAGCGTGTCATTTTCTACTGGAAAAGCGATAATTCCTGAGGATTTTCGCCGTTTTCTGGCACTTTCGGCCGTCCGAAGATGGCTAGGTGACTATATCGTACTGAAGTCTTAGGTGGCAAAATGAAAATTTTTATTTGGCCTATTCAAAATCTGAAAGAATTCACATCGACTAATTCGATGTCGAAATGAACGAATCTGTGGTAGAAATTGGGAAATTTTGGAAAATGAAGACGTAGTAGCCTACCGGAGTGCTCCTATTGACAATAAAAGCGAAAAAGTGACTTTGAGCGCAGATATCTCAAAAACTATATGTCCTATGAGGCTCATTCGATTCAGCGTGTCATTTTCTACTGGAAAAGCGATAATTCGCGAATATTTCTGCCGTTTTCTGACACTTCCGGCTGTCCGAAGATGGTTTGGTGACTATATCGTACTGAAGCTTAGGATCCGTCTTTCTGGTGGTTCTCTAGGTCGGAGATTCTGATTCTTTCATCAAAATCAGGAAATTCAAGATGGCGGACCCAATATGGCGGACGAGTATCGTAAGTATGATCCGACTCTCTTCTAAATTGTTATCTGGGTGTTTTCGAAGTCGGAGATTATGATTCTTTTGTCAAAATTCAGAAATGGCGGGATTTGGAAATTGAAGACGGTGGAACCAATATTTCATACGAGTTTCGAAATTATATACCGATTCGATTAAAAATTCGATAGTGGGCGTTTTCGGGATCAAAAATTATGATTCCTTCGTCAAAATTAGGGAATTCAAGATGGCAGATCCAATATTGCGGACGAGTTTTGTAATTATGTTCCGATTATAATCAAAATTCTCATCTGGGGTTCTAGGAGTTGGATATTATGATTCTCTCGTCGAAATTGGGAAATTCAAATGATTTAAATAGAAATTAAAAAAATGTTATCTCGAAAAACTGCAGAAACACGCTTTTATAGATAGCGAAACTAAAAAGAATCAGAAAATAAAATAATAATAGTGTCTTGATAAATATTGAACTGAAGAAATATATTATAGAAATAATGAATACATTGCAAAACAACGTTTGCGAGGTCTGCTAGTACTCGATAAGCATTGAATCCATAGCAACTGTATTATTTTACTAGTCGTGCAACATTGAATTTAATAGTTTTCTGGTTAAAACAGATTCCTCAATATACCAAGAATCTCGGCACCTTGATACAAGTTCATCATCTCGTGTAAAAATAAACACAGTAATTTCTATCATTATGTAATGTCGTAATATCTTTACAAATAGATCGGTATTATCCATAAATTGTATCCAACAAGTCCCAATTATGCACTTAATGATTTTATAGGGATACTTAATTTAGTTTTTCAACCATGATAAAATGATGATGATGATTCATAATTTGATAACGATTCACTTGATCAATTGAATAATGGATGGTTTATGGATTGTGCAAGAAAGGTGAATTTTTACTTGCCCAATGATTGTTGTTCAAATTCTGTTTCCTGATGAGTCACATCAACACACACACAAATCCACACTAAAATTGCTCCTATTTTGACGAGCATTTTAACTAATATTTGTTGTTCATAAACACGTATGAAATGTATCTTATAAACCACTAGTTGGGAGCTGGTGACAAAGTAGGTGGAAATGATTATCTTTACTTTGATATCAGCCAGTGCAAATAGTTGATAACGCAGTTGTTAGTCATTACGTTTTTTTCGTCATTGAAGGATTGATTAATATTTGTAGATCAATACATGACATCTTTATTTATTAATTTCACAAACTTTGCGCTATGTCAATGGATAATGGAAGGTTTCAGATTATTTTATGTTATTTCACGGTATTCTACGAGTACTTGAATGCTTCAGAATGCTCCAGATCCTCAGAAGATTTGCTCTGTTGATATACTTTCACATTTCCTGAAAATTAGAAAAACAATTTTTTGAACCACCCTGTATACCGTTCACTCACCATCAGTTGATTGATATAATAATCGTATAGAACTTTTCCACTACGGAGATCTAATGCCACTTCGAACATTTCATCTAGTTCTGCTTGAGAAAACGGCTCGCCATATTGGGTCATCAGTGTGGAAATCTGTTCTTTGGTCAGAAAGCCGTTTTCCTCGGGATCGAGAGTGTGGAAAGCTTGCAAAAGTTTTTCTGGACTTGCTGATTGATACCTGTATTTAAATTATCCGATTTGAGATTGAGTGTTTCATGTTATACAGGGTGTCTGTAGAAGGTCTTTACAAAAACATACCACATATTCCTTAGACCAAAATAAATCGATTCAAGTGAAATGGTCTTATATCACAAAAAAAAAATTATTTCATAATTCGATAGAGCTCACCCAAACTAGCTCACCACCGCAAACCGTTTCTTGCTGTGAGCTCCCTACGTTTTATAAAAAATTATTGAAGTCCCCGATTTTTCGGACCTCTGAAAACGAGGCGATGATGTGACGTCAAAATCCTAATACTGAAACAAGACTATTCCAGACAGAGATGAATGATACATGATTTCTGACAGAGTGAATTAGCGCGAGATAACAGTTGAAAGAATTAATATATCAGTTGCCTCAGTCTCCGTCAGGCGTTTGGTATTTTCTTTTAACTATGGTGAGATGAGGTTTCTACGTCATAAGAAGGTCCGTTTTCAGAAGGTACTATTATTTATGTCCAAAAATAAAACATTCCAGTTAATTTTTCGATCGATTTATGTCGTCAATCATTATTTATGTATAAAAGGATCATTATAAACATGGTTTGAGTTAAAAGTTCTACTAAGGTGTACACGCCCATTACCTCAGTATAAAGTTGCATCGTTTGGGCTCCAGAGGGCCTAGAAGTTACAATTTTTAAATCGTTTTTCGCATTTAAATTCAAAACGGCATATGCAATTTTGCTGAAATTTGGTATATTGATAGAGTTTTATGTGGCAACAAGAATGGTGTTGAAATTTTGTCCGATAATAATACATAGGCGTAGAACTTGATTTTTTAAATAATTTCACCTTTAAAAATTCTACGCCAATGGAAGAAAAGGAGTTTGAGTATGAAATTTAGATTGCGCAACTCATTTACTTTAAAAAAAGGACTCTTGATAAGACTCGATTGCTCTCATGGTTTTGACGAAATTTGCATTTTGTTTAGAACATAAACAATAATTATTAAAATACAAACTTTGTCAAAACCATGAAAGTGAATCGAGTGTTATGGAAGTAACTTAGTACCCAATCCAAATTTCATACTCAAAGCCCTTTTCTGCCATTGGCGTAGAATTTTTAAAGGTGCAATTATTTAAAAAATCAAGTTCTACGCCTATGTATTATTAATAATTTTCTTCGACGTATAAATCTTTGTTTGCGTGAAAATGGTGAACATTTTGAACAAATGTTGTAAAATCTCTATTTATTTTGATTACGTTGTAAATAATAGTTATTTATGTAATAAGGATCATAAAGACGATCATTATGGTACAAGTCGTGAATGTTATCGGGCGAGGCGTAGCCGAGTCCGATAACACGGCGTGTGCCATAATGATTGTTTATGATTCGTATTACATACAAAATTTTATCTGATGGCATTTATATCAATACATTTTCGAAAAATTAAAAACTGCATTTTCGACATGTCACAATGACAACTATTTTTGAAGGAGTAAGTATTGTGTAGTTTCAAATATTAGTAGGTGAGTGAGCTGTGCTTTGCCATTATATTAATATTACAAATCGTAGTAATTGTTCTTTTACCATTTATAATAAATAGTTTTGTACATAGTTATGCATTTTGAATACACTTTTTTGATCAAACCATTACATGTTTTCCTTATAGAATTTCATTATGGTACTTAGTACCATAATGAGCTTCCTTATGTCATCAAAATTGAGTGACATAACGTTGTCATTATGACATGCCATCAGATAAATATTTTTGTGAAACCTATACACTCTAAATTATCAATCGAGTATTATCAGGAGTACCTCTTTTAAAGTAAATGAGTTGCGCAATCTAAATTTCATACTCAAACTCCTTTTATTCCATTGGCGTAGAATTGTTAAAGGTGCAATTATTGAAAAAAATCGAGTTCTACGCCTATGGATCAATATCGGACAAAAATTTAACACCATTTTTTTGCTACATAAAACTCTATCAATGTACCAAATTTCAGCAAAATCGCATATGCCGTTTTAAATTTATATGGGAAAAACGATTTGAAAATTGTAACTTTATGGCCCTCTGGAGCCCAAACGATGCAACTTTGTACTTAGGTAATTTCACTTAAATCGACTTATTTTGGTCTATGGAATATGTGGTATGTTTTTGTAAAGACCTTTTACAGACACCCTGTATTGGTAATCGTATACTTGTGTTCTGTGATGATTTGCGATAGATAGGGCAGACATTTCGATAAATGGACGCTTCCAGGTGTTTGAGGGTCTTCCAGACTGACGATTATCTCCAGGATTTCGGCTTCTGATGGATAACATCCTAGCCCTCTCATAATCGTGGATATTTCTCGCACGTCTATTCTTTTGGCGCCTGTATGATCGAACACGTCGAAAGCATCTGCTATTCTTCGTTCCAAGTCATTGTTAATTTGGACTGATGAAAAAATTCAAGGATGCATGATCAATAATTTCTGTAGGTTAATCGAGGAGGTGGTATACATTCATTATTCCAGATTTTTTAGGGGTTTTCTCTCCTCGCCTATATAAAATAAAAATATGAATACTATCTCAATATACGTGTAGTTAGTGAATTTTTCTTTTAGGCTCCCTGATGTTTTCAAAGCCTCTTTGATGGTGGTGGAATAACTCGAACCATGATTTATTCTTGATTTTTTACTCACCCTGTGTGTTAATTGAGTAATGGCACAGAATGTGCTTACACCCTATACGAATGAAGCTTCTTTTGCGAGCATTTTGTTTTTTTATTCATTGATTTATCTCTAAAATTTTCCGAATTACAGCTTTTTTGCTGATACCTTACGCTTATCCCACAAATTAAATTTATTGAAGGATCAGAGTACTCAAAATTGATTGGGTTGTACTCTTGTAGGATCACATTGTCTTTAAAAAAACAAATGCCGTTGCCATAGCAACTAATTTGTTGTATGCCTCCATATTTGACCATTTGTCGTTGTGTCATTAATTAAGTGTTTTGTTTTATTGACTAAAATTACATAAAATGCCACAAATAAATCCTAAACAAGTAGCAAGATTAGTTGCGTTAGTAAACGATGGGCGTAGTAAACGTTACGCCGCTCGTGCAGTGGGAGTTCATGAAGCAACTGCTCGTAGAGCAATCCGCAAGTACGGAAAAACAGGAAGCACCGCTCGGAGGGTCGGTTCTGGTCGCCCTCGAAAAACTTCTCCAAGAGATGATCGCTTCTTGAGATTGCGGATTTTACGGAATCGATCAAATACTGCGGTCAATGTTCAGCAAGATCTTCGCCAAATTCGTGATGTTGCAGTAAGTGAACAGACGGTATGTAGACGTCTAAAAGAAGTTAATTTAAAAGCTAGGAGACCTGCACAAGGTCCCAAATTATTGCCCAAACATCGTGCTGCTGGAAGGAATTTTGTTGAAAATTATGGACAGCGGAATATTCCTGAATGGTCGAATGTCTTGTTTACGGTTGAGTCAAGGTTTTGCCTTAACATGGTGGATGGAAGAAAAAGAGTGTGGAGAAGAACTGGTGAGCGGTTTAATCAAAATTTAATATCAGAATGCGAAAGTTTTAATGGTGGGTCCGTTATGGTGTGGGGAGGGATTTCAATGAATGGAAAGACACCCCTTCATGTTTTTCCGGTGAGGCAGTCGATGAATGCCCAAATTTACATTGACATTTCAGAGCAGTATGTCTTACCTTATGCAGAGTTAGTGGGCAATAATTTTATATTGATGCAGGATAATGCCCGACCACACACCGCAGCAATAGTGCGAAACTTCATAGGTATTACCACATTACAATGGCCTGCGAGAAGCCCCGATATGAATCCTATAGAACATTTGCGGAATGAATTAGGGAGAAGGGTACGTTCTCGCGAGAGGTCTCCGGAAAGTCTCGCAGAAATGGCAGATGCATTAGTGGAAGAATGGGATCGTATACCAATGGAAACGATAAGCAATTTAATTTCCAGTATGCCTCGTAGATTAGAAGTTCTTAGAGTTGCTAGAGGAGGCAATACACGGCATTAAGCAGTCATCCCAATTTATAATTTTGTGTTCAATGAAAATGTTTTTCAAAATTATTGGTATCAGTTTATTTCATTAGAAAATTGTTTCTCGATAAATCCAGAAAATTGGTAATCTGCAAGGATTCAGCAAAAAAAAGCTGTAATTCGGAAAATTTTAGAGATATATCAATGAATAAAAAAATAAAATGCTCGCAAAAGAAGCCTCTTTCGTACAGGGTGCACTTTCTATGCCATTACTCAATTTACACACAGGGTGAGTAAAAAATTAAGAATAAAACATGGTTCAAGTTATTTTGAAAACATTTTCACCTCTTAATTTTTTTCTCAAAGACAGATGCATTACCTACCAACAAATAAAAAAAAATAAAAATCGGCCTACTATTTTTTTTTTCAAGAAGATAGGTCAAATATCAAGTGCGTCACTTTTTTTGGAACTGAGTGTATTTTCATTTAATAGAGATGAGGAGAGAAAATCCCAGAAAAATCTCGAATAATGGATGCATGATCAATTTGTTTCAATGTATTTTCGAAATGGTTGCATGGTATTATGTAGTACAAAAATATCACAGTCGCAATTATTGATTCACCTACCTTGGATATCTTCATCCATTTTTACTGGAAAACTTTTAACTCAATAACTTTCTTGAATAATTGTGAGTATAGTGAAAAGTTATTCAAAATGATACTAAAAACGAAGTGAGGATCGATCAAACATTTGGTAACACTTTGTTTGTATCAGATTGACAGTTTGAGGCTAGCACAATAATCGATCTCATAGCAACGCGACAGATATTTGATGTTCATTCTGACCGATAGATGTCGCTACTATATCAGAAGAAAATATTCATTCCATATTGAATATCTGCATAAATGAATCAAACGAGATGTAAATTTGTTTATAAAATGTATTGATTATTCAATTTTTTACACTATCTCGCCAACTATAAACCGTCAAGGGAGTATGAGACTTCATTTTTTGGAATCCATCGTCTTCTGAATTCGACATATTTTTGAATCCTTTCGGTATGTCCCGTGACCCATCATCAAAAGCAAGATTCTTGCTTTTGGTTATCGAAGAAATTGCGGTATTTTTCTCCTAAAACAAAGAATACAAAAAATAATGCAAGACACGTTTAGCACGAAAAGATATAAAATATTTGGAAATGGCATTTTGTGAGGTCCATCTCGAGCTGAATTTGCAGATTTGTCCATATTTGGAACAACGAGAAATGTGTATATTTGACTTGATATAGACATAACTCAATCCCATTTGAGATCATCTCCTTGAGCTTCGCTAATATTCTCTACTAATAATATACAGGGTGTACCGTAAAGACCACGTCAAACCTCGGGAGAATGTAGATCAAAGGATATCCCATTTGCCATGACGAAATTCCCATTATAAAAGTCTTGCCGTTTTTTTTGAAAATATTGAATTTTTGACCCTTTCAATAGTTTTGTCTATACGGTTGGTACAATTTTACACCTTTTTGGTTCATTTTTTCAGTAAATATTGCTGGAGAATGATTTTAACGTATACATTGAAAACATTCTCCGAACATTTTAAAAGAAGGCTGTGAGAATAGTTATTTATGCAACAAGTGCAAAAAGTGAATGTTTATTGCACTAGTTGCATACAACATTTTTTTCTACGTTCATGCAAAAAGCAAAAAATGATTTATTGAGGTGCGGCACTAGGTGTAGGAAAATGAAAAACGCAACTTAATTTTTGACTGACGTTTCTATAACCACAGTTGCAATATAAAAAATGTTTGTCATGATGACAGCACGTTGAAGTAGAATGACAGATGAGTGCAATAAAAACTTTATTGCACTAAGTGCAACAAAGAACTTCTTTTTCCACTAAATATAGTTCAATAAAGTTCTGCTTTTTGCATGAATGTAGAAAAATATTTTTATTGAAAACTTTGGTAGTGGATATCTTCAAAAAAGGAAAAAACTCGAAAACGGTAAGACTTTTATAATGGGAATTTTTTCATATGGAGGTGGGTTATCCTTTGATCTACATTCTCCCTAGGTTTGACGTGGTCTTTATGGGACACCCTGTAGATATACTCAGAAAATTATTCGCCAAACACAAACTTGAAGATTTTTGTCATCGATAAATCGGTTTCTAGAAAAGTTTGAATAGCTACTTGAATCGATTCACTTACATATGAATAATAATCACGATCATCGTATACTTTTGCTTTGCTTTTGAGTTCATTCCTGATATACCATTCTTGTAGATAGATGTCGCGGTTTGAATGAAGCTCTCCTATTCGTATTCGTTGAATGGAATGCCATCTGGAATATTTGGAATTGAATAAATAGTTATTTACCTAACAAGTGCGGAAAATAGTAATTTTCCACACGTGACGGCAGTTGCACGAACGACGCTGAGCGGAGTTCGGGCAAACCGTCAAGAGTGGAAAATACATTTTTCTACAAGCGTGCGTACCCGCACGCAATTAAGTTTGGGAAGTGTCATTTTCCCGCACTAGTGCGGGAAAAGTTTTCCCACACTAGTGCCTGAAAAACATATATATAATATTCTCGCAAAATATGAGTGGTGGGTGACACAATATGAAGATTTTAGGTTTTTTTGTTGCAGTTTTCATTAAGTTTGTACAAAATCATCCATCAAATTGCTCTATTCATTGTGAAAATGAAGAAATATTGAAAAATAATAATTGATTGTTATATAAATCCCCCTATAGCCTTCAATTGATCTGATGTGGGAAACAATTGTTGTCATGTCAATCAAAACAAAAATCAGTTAGTGTAATTCTCAGAGTGACAGACAGAGCGCTACTGTCATTTTCGATTCAGTGGAATTGCGATGAAAAACTTCCAGAATTTCCATCACTCCATACAATCAAAGGAACGAAAAAATACTTTTCACGAAGTGAACTGTACCTGGTCAATAATTGGAATAATCTGGATTTCTGTCCAATTTTTTTGAGCAACTTGGCAACGCCGCTTATTGCTTTTTGGTGGTGCGGCGAGCCTTGCAATGATCTCCAGTAGAAATTAAGCGCACGTAGATAATTACCTAGAGGAAAAAATATTCTTAGTGTTCCAACGTACAGGGTGATTCATGTCCCCCGCCCCCCCTGGCTCAGTTATATTTGAACCAATCCCAAAATTGGAAGAATCATTTGAGATTATTTTATAATTTTTTTTCCGCTACATCAGAAAAAATACAGGGTGCTCGGAACGAACGAACTACACGGAACTGGTAGATTTTTTTAAAGTAACACCCTGTATTTCATTGCATTTTCAGATTCTTGGGGTCTAGCAGGAATGATAACAGAGATATAGGGTGTTCAAAATCGAGATTTCTTCGTGTCGAAACTATTCATCATTGGTCAAAACGTCTCGCATGTGTTGGATTGTGAAATAATCAGATCACTCCTGCTCTAAATAACATCCTGTGAATAGGAATTGTTTTCTTAGTTTGTGACTTATCAGAATTAATGATGTTATTAAGTGTCAGAATGAATATAATATTATACTTGTCATCATTGAAAAGTAGTTCTCAAAAGAACTGTGTACTTCTGCCGTTTTACTAGAGCATGCCCCTATCTTGACTTTTGATTTACTATCTACTGACATTTGATAATTGGAATAGATACAGGGTGATCAGAATTCTGAATCTCGAACCACCCTGTATTGTTCCAATTCAGTGTCGTCAGATAGTAAATCAAAAGTTAAGTTATGACATGTAAGTCGTTTTGACCAATAATCAATAGCTTAGACACAAAAATATCCTCGATTAAAAAAAAATTATGTTGAAGACACTATATCTCTGTAATCATTTTCGCTAGACCCCAAGTGTGATACATTGATGAAATCCTCTATTCAGAGAGAATCTGAGAATGCAATTGAATACAGGGTGTCCCATTTGAAAAAATCAACTAGTATCCTGTAGAGAGAAATCGGTTCAACAATTAGTGAACTAGAGGGAGGGACATTTATGGTGAATCACCCTGTACCTATTTGAGATCTTGTTCTTTCTCAAATAGCGTGTTTTTTACCTGTTTTTATGGACCAATTTGCCAACTGGATCCCATAGTAAGGGTCGGAAGGATTGCTATTCAGAGCGTTTTGAAGAAGCAGAATTATGCTTGGATTTTCAATTCCCAACAACTTTATCAGTTCTACATACGCTAATGTGAATTTTGGTTCAAGTGACACACATTTCCTGAGCATATTCTCGGATTCAGAGGTCCTGTTATATTTCCTGCAAGAAAAAATCTCGCATTTATACTCAGTCGATTATTCAAAGTGTTAACAAATTAGTAACTGTAGATTCCTTATAAAAAAGGCGCAATTGTTTCCTTTTCCAAATTTTTGTCCACTCTGCCGTTACAAAGATACAGGGTGTCAAAAAAATGTTTACCACACCTAATTTAACACACTCTACAACACATAATGAACTTAACAATTCGACAACCTAACATTCAATTGACAATTTCATTTGACAGTTCTAGTGATTTACGTCCATGGTAACTTTTCAGACGATTTTTAAGGTATCTGGATTCTGCTTGTTTTATTCATGAATAGTTATTTATTATACAAGGGAAAAAAGTTGTAGATTTTAGCTCCAGGTTGTGTTGTCTCCCGACGCGTAGCGGAGGAAGACAAAAAACCGTGAGCTAAAATCTAATATTTTTCTCGTGTCTAATACACTATTTTTTTCTGTGACAGATGAAAGGACGAATCAATATTGAGAAGATATTACATTATTTTGAATTCTGAAAATTATCGACGTGAAATTTTAACTTTTTAACAGTAGGGACACCTGCGTTGTAGGCATCTTTATCATTCTTTTGAAGTAATCAAATATCTGATGTCACCTCTGTCAGTCTAATTCTGGGATTTGATTTCAAAAAATTGCGAGTTTAGTGGTTGTTTAGTAATATACGTAACCGCAAAGTCGAATGGAAGATAAAAGGACTTGCAGTTCTTTCTCGGAGACGGTATTATTGACTCATTTTTCGGAACTATAGCACAACAAAAGCTATCAACAGTGTATATATATGTGATATATACCCGGGTAAAAAGTACTCACTTTTTTTCCACGGGAAAAAAGTAATTTATGAAAAGTGACATTTTATAACCTGCCAACAGAGATGAAATGCCAAACTTTTTTCCCGTCACAGAAAAAAAGCCATTCTTCTCGAGAACTGTTCACTTCAGAGCATTGAACCAAGAGAACCTTTTATTTTTATTTTTTTATGCCCTGTATCTTGAAATTGGAAGCATAGAGAAAAATTTCGAGAAGGATAAAAATGTATCATTTTTTTATGAGGAATCTATAGTTTTTCGTTGCGACACTTATTTGTTATCACCCTGTATAAGAGTACCCTAACCTGTACAAGCGACCAAGGTTGTAGTGAGCATTGACGTGATCTGAAGAATGACGTATGGCAGCTAAAAAGTGTTCTTCTGCTTCCGATACATCGTTTAGTAAAGTCCCAAGATTATTGTGGGCACTAGCGTATGACGGCCATAATCTGAAAATTAAATAGTTTGCGATATATTCGTTCGATAAAAATCATTTTTCGTTGACATGATATTCACAAGTTAGATTATTGTACAGGTTGTCCCATTTAAATGTGTCTTCCTTATATCCCTTCATCTCAATATACAGTGTGTCCCACTTACCATGCTCACCATGGGTATCTTTTTAACGGTACAATACATTATGGAATTTTTGTTGAAATTAAAAAAAATGGCTGCTCCAAGATGGCGGACAAGATTTTGTCCGATTCCATTCAAAATTGATAAGTGGGGGTTTTTGACTTCGGAGATCATGATTTTTTTGTTGAAATTTATAAATTCAAGATGGCGGCTTCCAAATAATTTTTTGTTTTTGTATAAATGACGATAACTCCGTTGTTATCAACACAAAACTATTACTGCGACATATCATCTGTAAGAGAAAAAAAAAAGTTATTTGTAACTAAGTCATAGTGAGCTATGACCTACATTTGAAAAACTGAATATGGTGCTGATATCTCAAATTCTAGGAGAGTTGGTATAAATTTCATATTTTTTTCGAAATCACTTTGAAAAACTGCCATAAGAATGTGAAATTCCTATTTGAATATTTTCATAAATAAAGAAGTTACGGAGGAGACATGAAAATGATCAAAATCTGTTTTTTGCGTATAAAACAAAAACGAATAGATTATATCAAGATATTTTTCACATTATAGTTGGCCTTGACAAACTCCACATTTGGTGTCATTTAACCGACCTCGTATCTCTCACCGTTAAAAAGATACCCATAGTGAGCATGGTAAGTGGGACACACTGTATTTTGGTCATCCAAAAACTTTTCTGAAATATTTCCTTGCGAATTTTTTGAATCTGTGCTCACTTTTTCTTTATAACAACGAAATACAGGGTGCCTGAGGAACAGTTTTTTTTTCAAATGAAATGATCTATATTTTTTCCATAATTCGATGAAGCCCGTCAATCTGAATTCAAAAATAAATATCATCAATATATTATTATCGAACAAATTGAATGAAGATAAATTCATTCGAAATAAAAATCTGAGCCACCCTGTATTTTGTTGATATGGAGAAAAAGTGAGCACCGATTCAAAAAATTTGTAAAGAGGGTGACACATTCAAGTGGGACACCCTGTACACGAAAAGGTCGTTAATGACCTCTATTTCAAATCACTTACCGCAGAGCTGTATAGTAATGACTTTTGGCCAGTTCCATTCTAGTAGAATCTCTGAGAAAATTAGCATAGTTGTAGTGCATTTTAGCGTTGTGAGGTAGCATCATTAGTCCGGCCCTATACATTGAAAACAAAATTAGATTCACAGGAACTATGAATTATGATTCAGAAAATTGTATCGGAATCATTCAAAATAGTATATTGTGCAACTAGTGTGGAAAATGAGCTATTTCATACGAGTTCGTGACCAGATTTTTTCATATCACACGAGTATGAAATAACCAGTGTTCGCACGAGTTTTATACTATACTTTTCGGACGACCTACCTGAAATATCAAAATGTTCAAACACGTGAAAATAATTTTACTATTATACTCGTATATACGCCAAATGAAAATTTTCATTTTCACACCTAAGACTTCAGTACGATATAGTCCTCACAAATCATCGCTTTTCCAGTAAAAAATGACACGCTGAATCGAATGGGACTATAATCAGCCCCATAGGACGGATAGTTTTTGAGATATCTGCGCTCAAAGTCAGTTTTTCGCTTTTATTGCCAATAGGAGCACTCCGGTAGGCTACTACGTCTCCATTTTCCGAAATTTTCCGATTTCCACCACAGATTCGTTCATTTCGACATCGAATCAGTCTTTGTGAATTTTTTCAGATTCTTAATAGGCCAAATAAAAATTTTCATTTTCCCACCTAAGACTTCAGTACGATATAGTCACCTAGCCATCTTCGGACGGCCGAAAGTGCCAGAAAACGGCAGAAATCATCACGAATTATTGCTTTTCTAGTAGAAAATGACACGCTGAATCGAATGAGACTATAATCAGCCCCATAGGACGAATAGTTTTTGAGATATCTGCGCTCAAAGTCAGTTTTTCGCTTTTATTGCCAATAGGAGCACTCCGGTAGGCTACTACGTCTGCATTTTCCAAAATTTTCCGATTTCCACAACAGATTTGTTTATTCTGACATCGAATTAGTCTGTGTGAATTTTTTCAGATTTTTAATAGGCCAAATGAAATTTTTTATTTTCACACCTAAGACTTCAGTACGATATAGTCACCTAGCCATCTTCGGACGGCCGAAAGTGCCAGAAAACGGCGAAAATCCACGCGAATTATCGCTTTTCCAGTAGAAAATGACACGCTGAATCGAATGAGACTATAATCAGCCCGATAGGACAGATAGTTTTTGAGATATCGACGCTCAAAGTCAACTTTTCGCTTTTATTGCCAATAGAAGCACTCCGGTAGGCTACTACGTCTCTATTTTTCAGAATTACCCGGTTTTCACCACGGATTCGTTTATTTCGACATTGAATTAGTCTATGTGAATTTTTTCAGATTTTTAATAGGCCAAATGAAAATTTTCATTTTCTCACCTAAGACTTCCATACGATAAAGTCACCGAGCCATCTTCGGACAGCCGAAAGTGCCAGAAAACGGCGAAAATCCACGCGAATTATCGCTTTTCCAGTAGAAAATGACACGCTGAATCGAATGAGACTATAATCAGCCCGATAGGACAGATAGTTTTTGAGATATCTACGCTCAAAGTCAACTTTTCGCTTTTATTGCCAATAGAAGCACTCCGGTAGGCTACTACGTCTCTATTTTTGAGAATTACCCGATTTCCACCACGGATTCGTTAATTTCGACATTGAATTAGTCTATGTGAATTTTTTCATATTTTTAATAGGCTAAATAAAAATTTTCATTTTCGCACCTAAGACTTCCATACGGTAAAGTCACCTAGCCATCTTCGGACGGCCGAAAGTGCCAGAAAACGGCAAAAATCCACGCGAATTATCGCTTTTCCAGTAGAAAATGACACGCTGAATCGAATGAGACTATGATCAGCCCGATAGGACAGATAGTTTTTGAGATATCGACGCTCAAAGTCAACTTTTCGCTTTTTTTGCCAATAGAAGCACTCCGGCAGGCTACTACGTCTCTATTTTTCAGAATTACCCGATTTCCACCACGGATTCGTTTATTTCGACATTAAATTAGTCTATGTGAATTTTTTCAGATTTTTAATAGGCCAAATAAAAATTTTCATTTTCTCACCTAAGACTTCCATACGATAAAGTCACCGAGCCATCTTCGGACGGCCGAAAGTGCCAGAAAACGGCAAAAATCCACGAGAATTATCGCTTTTCCAGTAGAAAATGACACGCTGAATCGAATGAGACTATGATCAGCCCGATAGGACAGATAGTTTTTGAGATATCGACGCTCAAAATCAACTTTTCGCTTTTTTTGCCAATAGAAGCACTCCGGCAGGCTACTACGTCTCTATTTTTCAGAAATACCCGATTTCTACCACGGATTCGTTGATTTCGACATTGAATCAGTCTATGTGAATTTTTTCAGATTTTTAATAGGCCAAATAAAAATTTTCATTTTCCCACCTAAGACTTCCATACGATAAAGTCACCGAGCCATCTTCGGACTGCCGAAAGTGCCAGAAAACGGCGAGAATCCATGCGAATTATCGCTTTTCCAGTAGAAAATGACACGCTGAATCGAATGAGACCATAATCAGCCCGATAGGACAGATAGTTTTTGAGATATCGACGCTCAAAGTCAACTTTTCGCTTTTATTGCCAATAGAAGCACTCCGGTAGGCTACTACGTCTTCATTTTCCAGAATTACTCGATTTCCACCACGGATTCGTTTATTTCGACATTGAATTAGTCTATGTGAATTTTTTCAGATTTTTAATAGGCCAAATGAAAATTTTCATTTTCTCACCTAAGACTTCCATACGATAAAGTCACCGAGCCATCTTCGGACGGCCGAAAACGGCAAAAATTCACGCGAATTATCGCTATTCCAGTAGAAAATGACACGCTGAATCGAATGAGACCATAATCAGCCCGATAGGACACATAGTTTTTGAGATATCGACGCTCAAAGTCAACTTTTCGCTTTTATTGCCAATAGAAGCACTCCGGTAGGCTACTACGTCTCTATTCTTCAAAATTACCCGATTTCCACCACGGATTCGTTCATTACGACATTGAATTATTCTATGTGAATTTTTTCAGATTTTTAATAGGCCAAATGAAAATTTTCATTTTCTCACCTAAGACTTCCATACGATAAAGTCACCGAGCCATCTTCGGACGGCCGAAAGTGCCAGAAAACGGCAGAAATCCACGCAAATTATCGCTTTTCTAGTAGAAAATGACACGCTGAATCGAATGAGACCATAATCAGCCCGATAGGACACATAGTTTTTGAGATATCGACGCTCAAAGTCAACTTTTCGCTTTTATTGCCAATAGAAGCACTCCGGTAGGCTACTACGTCTCTATTCTTCAAAATTACCCGATTTCCACCACGGATTCGTTCATTACGACATTGAATTATTCTATGTGAATTTTTTCAGATTTTTAATAGGCCAAATGAAAATTTTCATTTTCTCACCTAAGACTTCCATACGATAAAGTCACCGAGCCATCTTCGGACGGCCGAAAGTGCCAGAAAACGGCGGAAATCCACGCGAATTATCGCTTTTCCAGTAGAAAATGACACGCTGAATCGAATGAGACTATGATCAGCCCGATAGGACAGATAGTTTTTGAGATATCGACGCTCAAAGTCAACTTTTCGCTTTTTTTGCCAATAGAAGCACTCCGGCAGGCTACTACGTCTCTATTTTTCAGAATTACCCGATTTCCACCACGGATTCGTTTATTTCGACATTAAATTAGTCTATGTGAATTTTTTCAGATTTTTAATAGGCCAAATAAAAATTTTCATTTTCTCACCTAAGACTTCCATACGTTAAAGTCACCGAGCCATCTTCGGACGGCCGAAAGTGCCAGAAAACGGCAGAAATCCACGCGAATTATCGCTTTTCCAGTAGAAAATGACACGCTGAATCGAATGAGACTATGATCAGCCCGATAGGACAGATAGTTTTTGAGATATCGACGCTCAAAATCAACTTTTCGCTTTTTTTGCCAATAGAAGCACTCCGGCAGGCTACTACGTCTCTATTTTTCAGAAATACCCGATTTCTACCACGGATTCGTTGATTTCGACATTGAATCAGTCTATGTGAATTTTTTCAGATTTTTAATAGGCCAAATAAAAATTTTCATTTTCCCACCTAAGACTTCCATACGATAAAGTCACCGAGCCATCTTCGGACTGCCGAAAGTGCCAGAAAACGGCGAGAATCCATGCGAATTATCGCTTTTCCAGTAGAAAATGACACGCTGAATCGAATGACACCATAGTCAGCCCGATAGGATAGATAGTTTTTGAGATATCGACGCTCAAAGTGAACTTTTCGCTTTCATTGCCAATAGAAGCACTCCGGTAGGCTACTACGTCTCCATATTTCAGAATTACTCGATTTCCACCACGGATTCGTTTATTTCGACATTGAATTAGTCTATGTGAATTTTTTCAGATTTTTAATAGGCCAAATAAAAATTTTCATTTTCTCACCTAAGACTTCCATACGATAAAGTCACCGAGCCATCTTCGGACGGCCGAAAACGGCAAAAATTCACGCGAATTATCGCTATTCCAGTAGAAAATGACACGCTGAATCGAATGAGACCATAATCAGCCCGATAGGACACATAGTTTTTGAGATATCGACGCTCAAAGTCAACTTTTCGCTTTTATTGCCAATAGAAGCACTCCGGTAGGCTACTACGTCTCTATTCTTCAAAATTACCCGATTTCCACCACGGATTCGTTCATTACGACATTGAATTATTCTATGTGAATTTTTTCAGATTTTTAATAGGCCAAATGAAAATTTTCATTTTCTCACCTAAGACTCCCATACGATAAAGTCACCGAGCCATCTTCGGACAGCCGAAAGTGCCAGAAAACGGCGGAAATCCACGCGAATTATCGCTTTTCCAGTAGAAAATGACACGCTGAATCGAATGAAACCATAATCAGCCCGATGGGACAGATAGTTTTTGAGATATCGACGCTCAAAGTCAACTTTTCGCTTTTATTGCCAATAGAAGCACTCCGGTAGGCTACTACGTCTCTATTCTTCAAAATTACCCGATTTCCACCACGGATTCTTTCATTACGACATTGAATTATTCTATGTGAATTTT